TTGCTAAGTAACCCCTGCAGCCCAGCAGCTCTTTCCTCCTGAACTCCTCTCATCACCTACGTATCCCCTCATTATTGGTTCCAGCTGCCTGTAGAGCTGCAGCCTTCATTCCTTAGAGCACGACTTGCTTCTAAGGGCTCACGAATAGCTTTTCCTTGGCTGGCATCTTTCTGCTAGGCCGCAAATCTCAGTACCCTCAGCGAGAGTCCCACAGTTGGAAACCCAGCTGAGCTCAGTGTTACACTAAGCGCCTCCAAGAATACCATCTGGAGACACTCAAGTTAGGGGCTTCTGATACTGGTACTGTAAAATCCATGATGGAAAATTCCGAGAGAAAACTGAGGCGCCAAAGATGAAGCACTATATATAGGGGCAGGAATGACACCGAGCAGGTCATCCAGCAGACCGGGTAAAGGAGGAATCCTGGAACCCTCAGAGGCTTTTGCAGGTCTTTTATTTAGATTTACCAGGCACATGGCAGGCAGGGGTGCTGGGGGGCCGGGAGGCTGGCAGGCCTCCCAGTCCCTGGCAAATCCTCACTCTATCTGGGCTCTCTGGCCTTCTCTCTGCTTCTCTTCTTCTCTCCGCTTCCGTTCATTCTTGGCTTCTGCTGGCGTCCCCGTGATGCCGCCCTTGTAAACTCAGTCTCTCAGCCCAGGTGTGCCCACTCCAGGTGCCCGCCATCAGGCATGCTGTAAAGGCAGGACTGGACACGGGGCAGGTTTTCTGATCCCATGCAGACCGGGTAAAGGAGGACTCAGAGTCCTCAGTAGTTTTGCAGGTTTTTTATTTGGGGTTCACCAGGCATATGGCAGGCAGGGCTGCCAGCCTCCCAGCCCCCAGCAAGTCTTCACTCTATCTGGGCTCTCTGGCGTTCGTTCTGCTACTTCTCGGCTTCTCTTTCGGCTTCTGCTTCGGCTTCTAGTGCGGCTTCTACTGCTGCTGCTGGCGTCCCCGTGATGCCGCCCTTAAAAAGCCCAGTCTCAGCCCAGGTGAATCCCATCTACCTATGCCCACACCCTATTCCAGGTGCCCGCCATCAGGCATGCATTCAGGACGAGGATCCATCATCTATCCTGATGGCGGAAGGGCAGAAAAGCCTGACATTTTCTTTACCCTACACCTGCATTCAGGACCGCAGGGTTCCCTCATCTATCCTAGTGGCGGGAGGGCAGACAAGCCTGATACTTTCTCCCTAACCCTACAAGCCCCCTGCTCACACCAACTGCTATGTACGGGGAGACGCGCCACTGATGACTACCGCTATCCGGGGACCATGGCCCCAAGCTGGGGTGCTCACAGCAGAGGGATACAATATGTCTGAGCGAAGGATGAAATCTGAAGGAGACAAGGATCCTGGAGTCGTTTGGGTAGCAGATTCTCGGGTCTGAAGTGCTCACAGCTGGGTGAAGTGACCCCTTCGGGGACGCTGAAAGGATCCGACAGCCAAATCTCGGTCGCCACTTTTGTGGGGACCATCGCTCCTGGGGCTTCAAGTCCCTCAATCCCACCCTCACTCTGGCCCCCTGATCTCCATCCTCCCGCTGACTCTGGTCCCCTTCCCAACCCGAGTCCTGACGCAAGTCAGCCGAGGCGCAGTGAAGCTGCCCGGGCTCACCTGCCCCACGGCCCGAACCTGGACGAAGCCGCCCTGACTGCGCTCACTAAAATTTAGTTTCTGCAATCCTGTGCCGGGAGTCCTGACGCCTCCCTCCGTGGCGCGCCCAAGGCGTGCGGTCAGGCCAGGCCGAGCTCCTCCAGGCCAGGCTGCTTGGGTGTTGGCTGCACGGGGGATGCACAGGGGTCTGGGCAGGAGTCTGTCTCGCGCGCCCTCCGCGGTGCCAGCCGCCCGCGGACCCTGCCCAGGCGCCCCTGAGGGTCAGGGCTGCCGGGTGGGAGAGCAGATGCCCCTCTGATCTCGCTTTTCCACTTTTTTTCTTTTCATTGTACTTTTCGTGTATGATTCTTCAGAATTAGCATATATGATATAATCAAGGGGGAAAATGACGTTTCTTTGGGAGAAAACGCCCATCTACCACTTATGTACAAAATGAAAGAGATAGGCGTCTGCTTTTGTAGAGTTACAAAAGAGATTCTATCAAGGGATGACAAACTGAAAGGTGGGAGGGGGGAAATCAAGGGATTTCTCACTTAAATTGTGTGCGGCTGTTTCAGCCACAGAACACAAGTAGGGAGTTACCGGAACACAAGAGATTTGGATGGAGTTGAGCATAGTTTCTTCCCCAAAGGGATGCCAGAGAACAAAATCTCTCTAGATGGCATATTTGACCAGTACTGGAAATGTATTTTATCTACTGTATTCCTTCTACTTTAAAAAACAAATTATTTTAGGGCCTCCCCGGTGGCTCAGCGGTTGAGCGCTGGCTTGCAAACCTGTCCGCAGCCTCTGCAGCGCCGGTTCAATCCCCGGCCACCGGGTGAGGGTCCCACATGGAGCGGCAGACCTCTCCTGCCGCCCGCTGCTCCCCTCAGCAGTGTGCTTCATCAGTGTAGAGGCAGGACTGGACACGGGGCAGGTTTTCTAGGATCCCATGCAGACCAGGTAAAGGAGGAATCGGAGTCCTCAGTGGTTTTGCAGGTTTTTATTGGGATTACCAAGTACACGGCAGGCAGGGGTGCTGGGGGGCCGGGAGGCTGGCAGGCCTCCCAGCCCCCAGCAAGTCTTCATTCTATCTGGGCTCTCTGGCGTTCTCTGCTTCTGCTTCTTTGCTTCTCTCTTGGCTTCTCTTCAGCTTCTCTTTCAGCTTCTGCTGCTGCTGGCGTCCCCATGACGCCGCCCTTGAAAGCAGTCTTAGCCCAGGTGAATCCCATCTACCTATGCCCACACCCTATTCCAGGTGCCTGCCATCAGGCATGCATTCAGGACCTTAAGGATCCATCATCTATCCTGATGGAGGGAGGGCAGAAAAGCCTGACATTTTTCCTTACCCTACATTCTGCCTGTTCTGTTCCCCGCTCTGGCTCTGATGAATTCTCTCACCCTCCCATGCTTCTGATTTTACCCAGTGCTTGTATAAATAAATTTTAAAAATTATTTCATTTATTTATGCATGCAAGAGCTGGGGTGTAAGGGGGGGGCTAGTGAAATGGGTGGATTCACCAGAGACAGAGTGGAGAGAAGAACAGGCAGATCTACTGAATTACGCTGCTGAGGGGAGCATCGGGCAAGACAGGAGAGTTCTGCTGCGCCATGTGGGTAGCTCCCTGGCTGGCGATCAAACTTGCTGCAGTGGCTGCTGATGGCTTCAGAGTTCTGAGACTTAACCCCTTATGCTACCAGGGAGGCCCTGTATTCCTTCTACTTAAGGGAAAAAATGAATTTATGGAACCCAGATTACATGCACCTTGATAGACAAATAAAGCCCCTCCCCCTTCCTATTCCCAGAGCACAGCATTGCATGTCTTGTCACCTTGACCTCATAGTTGCTCTCCCAAGGGCACCTCACATCATGCTGACAGCAGTGGAGCCTCTACGCCTAGAATGTGTCCTCTTCCTGTAGTCCTAAGTAGGAAATGTGTGCAGCCAACTGATCCTGAAGACAATTCCAAAAGAAAGGAGGTTCGGGGAACGTTTGGAATGACTACAAAAGTGATACTAGCATATGGCTTCCTAGATTAACTTGGAAAATGTTATAGAAAGAAGATATTTAAAGACGATACTCAATGACAGTCATTATAGATAGCAAAGCAGACTTTATTCAGGACTATCACAGTAAGTATAGGGACCACTGCAATGGAATTTTGATGTGGGTGTGGGGAGAGATTGGGCTCAACTCTGAATACAGAATAGGCAAGTGGGAATTTATAGTCAAGGAGCAGGGCAAGTCAATAGATGGAAAATTAAATAAAACTAAAGGTTGTGGGCAAGCGGAATTCTGGCTAAATAGACCTAACAGGATCCTTGCTAAAGACAGGCCAGCGTGATCAGGTAACAGGTAGGGGTGCTTGGTTAAACTATTGGCAGGGTTCTTGCTGAAACATTTTACAAGTGTACAAAAGGTGTAGAAGATTCAAGAACCTGATCAAAGTTTGGATAAGCAAAGAATCTTTGTTAATAGACAAGACTTAATTTAGCTCCTTGAGTGCTATATCTCTGTTCAAAAAATACTCTTCAAAAAACAGGTTAAAAGAGAAACAATGCAACATAGTCGTAATTGAGTTGAAGGAAAAGACTTGCTACCTGAATTTAGGTTCAAGCTGTTTTGTCACCACTCAAGGTTTTTTGACATGATCAAGGAATATGGTGGCCAACAATAAAATCTTAAATACTAGTTTATTTTAAGGAACTATGTGGAGCTTACAAAATGTCACATTGCAAAGTGAAATTGCTAAGCAGAAAAATTTGCTCTTTTCAATGTGAGCAAAACTTTTGCTGTCATACAGAACATTCCAGGCACCCAGAAACTTAACCTTTATCAATTTCTTACAAAATGTAAAAAACAAAAACAAAACCCACAAAATCTCACTCCCCAAAAGTTGCAAGGTATCAGGACGCCCTACTCTAATCAAATACAGAGGATTCCCCAGCAGTTAACTTCGAAGTGAGCTAACTTTACAGCTTATGCAGACATACCTATGAAAAAGAGGAATATTTGAAGTGCAAATGTTTTATTTACATTTTAATTTAAATATTTTTTTAAAGATTTATTTATTTATACAAGAACTGGGGTACAGGTCAGAGGCACAGGAGGGTGAGAGAATTCACCAAAGAGAGCAGGGAGCAGAACAGGCAGATGGATCGAAGACACTGCTGAGGGGAGCAGAAGGCGAGATAGTAGAGGTCTGCCACGCCATGTGGGTTTCTCACCGGCCGGGAATTGAACCTGCGCCCTCGCTGCAGAGGCTGCGGGAGGTCTTTAATTTAAATACTTCTTTTCCTCAACTCAATATAGTTGCTTTCCCCGCCCCCATTGTTAGCTTGTTAAATTTTTATTTTTGGTGTTTATATACATAGGAAAATATCCTTTTTTTTAAAGATTTATTTATTTATTTATACAAGCACTGGGTACAGTCAGAAGCGCGGGAGGGTGAGAGGATTCACCAGAGACAGAGCAGGGAACAGAGCAGGCAGACTGATGAAATACACTGCTGAGGGGAGCAGAGGGCGTGACAGGAGAGGTCTGGGCGCCATGTGGGACCCTCACCGGCGGCTGGGGATCGAACCGGCACAGCAGAGGCTGCCATCAGCTTCGCAGCCCAGCGCTCAACCGCTGCGCCACTGGGGAGGCCCAGGAAAATATCTTTATTAGCATTTTATCATTAAAGAGGAGACTGCCATGCCCATTAAAAGTGCCAGCAAATTATTATAATATTTAAATGCACACTATATATTAAACCAGATTTACTCATTGCACATTGCTAGGATGGGTAGAAAAAATGGTGATATTTATTTCAGAAATCTATTAGATGTACTTTAATGTATACAATTTAATGTATAGATGAAACACACACTTGCATAATTGTATAATTTATTATATAAATTTAAAAAATCAGGCTTGGTATAGTTTTGCTTGCTTGATTTAATTTGTTTACTTTCCAAGGACTTATTACTTATAATTCAATGTTTTCTGTGATCTTTCCTGTGAAAACTTGGTTACCATTTCCAGAATGACTGGCATTTTATTTTATAAGCATCTACTCTTCCAAATTCATCTAAACTGTTGGATTTTTCCCCACTGTGAGTTATCTGCTATTTAATAAGATTTCTCTAATATTTAAGGCTTTCTCATAAAGTGAATATTATATATGAATTTTCTGATGTACAAGAAGGTTTGACTTTTGGGAAAATCCTTTACCACATTTGTTACATTCATAGGGCTTTTCTCCTGTATGAGTTATCTGATGTCTGAGGAGATGAGACTTCTTGATGAAGGCTTTGCCACATTCCATACATCCATGAGGCTTCTCTCCTGTATGAATTCTTTGATGTGTAACAAGCACAGATGTGTTGCCAAAGGCTTTGCCACACACAATACATTGGTAGGGTTTCTCTCCTGTATGAAATCTAGAATGTTTATAAAGCGATGAACTGTACCTGAAGGTTTTCCCACATTCCTTACATTTAAATGAGTTCTCAAGTGTATGAGATTTCACATGTTGCGAGAAGGAGGAGTGCCAAGTGAATGACCTCCCGCACTCACTGCATTCATAAGGTTTCTCTCCAGTGTGAAGTCTCTGGTGGACCATGAGTTGTGCTTTATGCATAAAATCTTTCCCACATTCGTTGCACACAAAGGGTCTCCGGCCATTATGAATTTTCTGATGAGTTTCAAGGTGTACCCTTCTGCTGTAGGCTTTCCCACAGTCATTGCATTCAAAGGGTTTTTTTCTCGTATGATTTTTTTCATGCCTAATGAAATGAAACTTCTTTTTGAAGGCTTTCCCACATTCATTGCATTTATAAGCATTTCCCCCAGTTAAATCTCTATCATAATTAAGTACATCTAAAGTAGGTTGCAAAGTCTTCCCATATGACTTATATATACATGATTTTTTTCTTGCAGGATTAAGAATTGTGTTCATATTATAACCATGGAGTTGCTCCATAGTCAGAATTTTACTGAATGTGAACAAAACTGATTTTAAAAAATTGCCTTTGTTTTCCTGGTGCTGCTCTGATTCATCAATATGTGGACAGTCAGCTTCTAAAAAGAAGTAAAATAAAATATTCCTGGTTAATTTTTCCATCAACATATTATAGAAAGAAACTTAAATGATTTCAAATCTAGTGTCTTATTCTGAAACAAATCTTGTATTTGCTCCAAGCCTAAGCTTTAAATATAATACTGCTAAAGAGGAAATATAAGCAAATGAATGACAATGAGAACAGATGCTTAACTTGTGATCTGTGGAAAGACAGTAAAATAGGCATAAGGCACAATGAGCAGGGTACGGAGAATGTCAAAAGGATGCTCAAAACAGTTGTGTGGCTAGCTCATAGAATGAAGAGAGTCCATTGTAGAAGTCTGATTATTGGATAGGAGAACAGGAGTCAGGGGAGAATATCAGAGGATAGTCTAGGTTTGAAGAAGGCTTATCAGACTCAGAGTCCGCATTACCTATTTCCTAGATTACCCAGGTAGAGTACCTCATTTTCCTCATTCATATCCTTTTTTTTTTTCTTTTAATCATCTAAGGAAAATGTCTATTCCACTCAGGAACATTCTTTTATTTCCAGTCTTTTAACCCCATCCAAACCACAGCTGAGACATATCTGTAGACAAGACTCCAACTCAACTATAGCTAAGTTTCAGTCTTACCAATAAGTCCAGGAACACAAATGCCTAGCAGGTCACTCAAGGGAAGTTCATCCTTAGCCCAGGCACAGATTCGTCTGCTCATTTTCATTCTGGCTAGGTCTCTATATGTCACACTAGTTGTCATATTTGTATTTGACAAACACTATTCTTACATACTAAACTAGTCCCCAGAAAGCTGCTTTGCTCCTGAAGTCACTTTTTTTTTTAATTCTAGCCTTAAAATCCTATAAATTGCAAATCTGTTGCTCCATTAAAAAAATTAGGAAGAAGTGGTTACAATTCCTGAGTTTTTTTCCATGTGGAGTATTAATACAACATCCCTAGTCTCTTGCTCCATACCTTATCCTTCTCTGCAAAGCTGCACTGAGTAGTTTGCTACAGCCATTAGTAAACATTTCTTTATAGAGTGATTCTAAGTATGGAGATTTGGTTTGTTTCTTCTTTCCTCTCTATTACAACCAGCTGGAAGCAGCACTCTGCTACCTCAACCAATAACAACCAAATGAAAAATCCAGAATGATCAGCCTGGTAAACAAAGCTAGGCGATATGATGAACTCACTCATGGTTCTTAAGCATGCATTTCACTAGTCCTCAACAAATACCCTCTGTTCCAAGGATTCTAGCCTCTACGTAACTACAATCTCTGGCTCATGTTCCTTTTGCACCTTAACTTGCCCTCCTCCAACCCCTCTCATTCTATCTAGTATGTATATATTCTCTAGGAAGGAGATCTTAAGATCTCAAAAAAAAAAAGGTAAGAATCTTTGCATACCCATACCTTAAACTTAAAGTTCCATTTTCTCTGACTTCTAAGCTAGTCACTGCTGTTGCCTAAACCATTCATTTTGACTATTAACTAGAACAAAATTAAAATGTTATCGTACTTTGAACAAATGTTCCATGCTCATCAAATTTTAAAATACTTTATAAACTGCAATTTACATACATGGAAATGGAATCATTTTCATTTTTTGCATTCCTTGAATTCTTCTCAGGAAACATATTTAACAGCATATTGGTTTTTTTTTTTTTAAAAAAGCTTTATTTATCTATTTATACAAGTACTGGGTACAGTCAGAAGCGCGGGAGGGTGAGAGAATTCACCAGAGCCAGGGCAGGGAGCAGAGCAGGCAGAAGGACCAAAGTACACTGCTGAGGGGAACAGCGGGCAGCAGGAGAGGTCTGCGCGCCATGTGGGACCCTCGCCTAGTGCCAGGGATTGAACCGGCGCTGCAGAGGCTGCGGGCAGCTTCGCAACCCAGTGCTCAACCACTGTGCCACCAGGGAGGCCCAGGAAGATTTTATTTTAAATTGGTTTAACAGTAGAAATCAAAGGCATTAAGTCACAACAGTATTTAAGGAGAAACTCATGAGAGTTAAAACAAACTGCTTACCACAATGATTTTGAGACTGCAAAGCAGTCATTATGATTCATTGTAACATAAAGATAAACGGGAAGCTTAAAGAATATTGGTTACTATGAAAAAACAAACAATAAGGCTAAGTGAGGTAAAATTCTTGCAATGGAAAGTGGAGGGAGGCAAAGATGCTGGTGAAAGCATAAAGCAAGTAAGTTTAGTATTCAGAGCAATGAAATTTCTGAGGAAGTTGCTGTGAAGAGTTCTGGAGAGGACAGAGAAGCAAGAAGCAAAAAGTAAATAAGCAGTAACAAAGGGTGAGGACAGATATGCAAGGAACCAACTCAAAGTTAGAAGGACCTTCTAAAACATATCAACAATATCAAGTGAAGCAGAAAGATGCACTAGAAGGCAAATAACTCATTAGCTATGAACTAAAGATGAGCAAGGTGGGGTATGTGATTCAAGAAAAGGAATGAGTTGGGTTTTTTAATTTTTAATTTTTTTTAAAGATTTATTTATTTTTTTTTATACAAGAACCAGGGTACCAGCAAATACCAAGGATGGATACACAGGAGGGTGAGAGGACTCACTTGAGACGGAGCGGGGAACAGAACAGGCAGACCAACCAAAATACACTGCTGAGGGGAGCAGCGGGCGCGACAGGAGAGGTCTGCTGCACCACATGGGCATCTCCACGGTCGGTGGGGATAGAACCAGCACTGCAGAGGCTGCGGACAGCTTCACAGAGCTGCACTTAACCACCTGTGCCATCAGGGTGGCCCCCAGTTGGGTTTTTTAAAAAAGGAAAACAATTACAGCATGTTACTAAAAGTTTGGGTGTGGGGGAAACAACATATGCTGAAAAGTTAGTATTTGCCAACTATTTGAAGGGTTTTGCATGTATTAACTCATTATAATCTTTATAATAAGCCTGAGGTAAGGGTTAATACTATGCTTTTTTTTATAAAAGAAGTTTGTATAATTTGCCCAAGGTTAGATAGTGATTGTTGGAGTGAGACTTCAAATCCACACGATCTGACCACATTGTAAGAACTAGCTGTATAGAAAAGAGCTACGATCACCCTAAGGTGTAAAGCAGAATGAGGGTTTTAGGAACAGAACAAAGCAAGAACCTAAATGAAACAGGCCGTGTGAGGAGCCAGAGCAGAGAGGAAGGGGATATCCCTTCACACAAGAACTGAGCAAATACCAAGAGCAGCTATCTGAGGAGAGTGAAAGTGGAAGTGTCATCTGGGGTTCTGAGGATGTTATGTCAGGTGTACCCCATCATTTCTAAAGGCGTTCATGGCTTTTAAGAGGTGCTTCTTGAAAAATATTCAAAGATGCCTGTCTTTCATGGACCAATTGTGAACTCTATTCCAAATACTCCCATCTACCTGGTTTTCTCTCGCTCACCTGGATAGCTCCAACATGCGTTCTCTCCCTGCACCGTCCATGGCTCTTGTCCTTGCTCCACCTTCAAGATCACTTCTGTTTTAGTAACTGGGGCCCCTGTTTATGGGAAACAACACAAAACTGGAAGACAAAAGTGCCAAAGACGAATAACTACCTCACAACTCAGCTCTGCCTCCTTGACTCTCAGGGCCTCGAAAGGATGACAGATGGAACTTTATTTTTATTTATTTATTTATTTTGGTGGGACCCTCGCCGGTGGCCGGGGATTGAACTGGCGTTGCAGAGGCTGCGGCAGCCTCGCAACCCAGCGCTCAACCGCTGTGCCACCAGGGGAGGCCCGACAGATGGAACTTTAGAAAAGATCCTTTGCCTCCAGTTTGGAAGCAGAAGCATAAACTGATCCCTAAATGGGATTAAGAGTTTGACCACTAGGATTCAGGGCCAAATTCAGGACCAAACTTAATGCTTCAGAAAGTTCACAGCTTTCAAAAGTCTTATAGGGAGAGCACTACTGGTACAATCTGTTATACTGAGAAGTTAACCATCCACTATCCTTACCCACTGAGATGAGGTTTCTGAAGTTTTCCAGCATCACATCCCAATACAAGGTCCTCTGGTCACAGTCAAGCAGCTGCCACTCCTCTGGGGTGAAGGCCACTGCCACATCCTGGAACGCCACTGATTCCTGTAATAGCACATTCATCTTCAAACTAAAGAGTGCATCATTTGGGGACTTGCAGGAGAATCAAGGCAATCGAGACATGATATTATAATATGTTCACTGTTGAGTTTTCAGAAAGTCATAGGTGATAACTCTTGTACATTTGGTTCAGAAATATACCTTATGATAGAAACACAAATGATATTAAAATTTTCAACTAGCAACAGGACAATTCAGTGATGGAAAGAACATTCTTTTTAACAAATGGTGTTGGGAAAACTGGATAGCCACACGCAAAAAAATGAAGTTTGGTTCCCTCTGCCTCACCTCATGTACAAAAATGAACTTAAAATGGATTAGAGACCAAAATGTAAGAGCTAGAACTATAAAATTCTTAGAATGAAACATAGGCATAAGTCTCTGTGACCTTGGATTAGGCAATGGTTTCTTTTTTTTTTTTTTAATTTTTAAGATTTCTTTATTTATTTTATACAAGCATTGGATACAGTCAGAAGCGTGGGAGGGTGAAAGAATTCACCAGAGCCAGAGCAGAGAGCAGAACAGGCAGAAGGACTGAAGTACACTGCTGAGGGGAGCAGCGGGCGGCAGGAGAGGTCTGCGCGCCACATGGGACCCTCCTCTGGTGGCCGGGGAGCAGCCGGGGATCGAACTGGCACTGCAGAGGCTGCTGGGCACCTTTGCAACCCAGCGCTCAACCACTGCGCCACCGGGGAGGCCCTATGGTTTCTTGTATTTGACAAAAAGTGTGACAAGATAAAGTAGATAAATTTGAATTCATTAAAATTTTTGTCTTCAGGGCCTCCCTGGTGGCGCAGCGGGTAAAGTGCTGCACCGTGAAGCTGTCCGCAGCCTCTGCAGCATGAGTTCAATCCCCAGCTGGCCAGGGAGAAACCCACATGGCGTGGCAGACCTCTCCTGTCTCACCCGCTGCTCCCCTCAGCAGTGTCTTTGGTCCTTCTGCCTGTTCTGCTCCCCGCTCTCTGGTGAATTCTCTCACCCTCCTGTGCCTCTGACCTGTACCCTAGTTCTTGTATAAATAAATAAATCTTTAAAAAAAATTTTTGGCTTCAAAAGACACCATAAGAAAGTGAAAATACACAGTCTGCAGAGTGGGAGGAAATATTTGCAGATCATATATCAGATAAGAGAGTTGTTTTTGTATCTAGCATATAAAAAGAACACTTACAACTCAACAATAAGACAACTTAATTTAAAAATCAGCAATAGATTTGATCAGATATTTCTCCAAAGACATCAAAGGTCAATCAACACACAGAAAATAAGTTCAACATCATTAGTCATTAGGAAAATGAAAATTAAAATCACAATGAGGTATCACTTCACACGAAGATGATTAAAGTTAAAGACAAATAGTGACAAGTGTTGGTAAGGATGCGAAGAAACTGAAAATCTTGTAAATTGCTGGTAGGACTGTAAATGGTACAGCAAGTATCGAAAACAGTTTGTCATGTTATCAAAATGTTTAACAGAGTCACCCAACAATTCCTCTGAGATATGTACCCAAGAGAGTAGAAAACATATGTCCACACAAATGTCTATACACAAATGGACTTTTTTAAAACGTGATAAGATATACCCTCTCAACCACAAAGCCAAAATCAAATTAAATTTTAATTACCTTAAACTGAAGTCAAAACACGGAACTGAAAGGCATGTGGCTATGTGTCTATCACAGAGAAATAGTTAAGACAATATAGAATAGGGTCAGCAAACCAAAATCCAAAGGTTGACCTCCTATTTTTGTAAATCAAATGTCACTGGAACATAGTTACACCCATTTGGTTTTTTCCACTGGAAGGGCAGAGCTGAGTAGTCACCATAGAAGTTCTATAGTCTTCAAGTCTAAAATATTTACTATCTGGCACTTTAAAAAGTTAAGAGAGTGGGTACAGCTTATCTCAGGAATGCAAAGACAGCTCACTATTGGGAAATATAATAGACAATATATGATTTTTGACAGGTATAAAAAGGAAGAACATGAGAAAAATGTTCCCAACTTATGAAAACAGTCTTCATAAGCTAAAAATCCTTAAGTTGACTAAAAACAAAATCAAAAACGAAAAGGCAACAGTGAAACACCAGGAGCATTCCTATTAAAATTGGAACAACAAAAAAGGATATTTGCCTAGTTATTATAATAAAAATGTAATTATTAAAATCCCTGGTCACAGCAACAAGACAAGGTAAAAAACAGACATAAAAACTTGGCAGTGGGCCTCCCCTGCTGGCGCAGGTGGTTGAGTGCAGTGCGGTGAAGCCGTCCGCAGCCTCTGCAGCGCCGGTTTGATTCCTGGCTGGCTATGGAGATTCCCACATGGCGTGGCAGACCTCTCCTGTCACGCCCATTGCTCCCCTCAGCAGTGTATTTCAGTCAGTCTGCCTGTTCTTTTCCCCATGCTGTCTCTGGTGAATCCTCTCACCCTCCCGCACATCTGGCCTGTACACTGGTTCTTGTATGCATGAATAAATAAATCTTAAAAAACAAAACAAAACTGGGCAGTAACTGACAAAGCACCATTTGAAGAATATGTGAAGAACACTTGCACTTAATAATAGCTCTCTAAGTTGATATAAATTCAAATAGGTAAATTCATACTTTCCCATTAGAACAGCCAATTAGAAATTAAAAAGAATCCATCCCATTATCAACAGCAAGTTAAAACATGTTAGAATCAAGGTAATAAAAATGTACAGAATTATATAAAATGATATAACTGTAATGAAGGACCTATAAAAGTTTAATAAATAGAAAACTTATTGAAAATGTATGAATTCTCTCCAAATTAATCTAAAGTTTAATGGAATCAAATAAAAATACCTAACACCCTCCTTTATGGACCCTGACAAGCTGATTTTAAAACTGTTAAAGAACAGTTGGAGACACTAGAAAAAGTCTAAGGTGTACTTATGGTTCCAGATGAACATTAAAAAGGCTATGTATCTGCACCTACAAATTGAGTTCATACAGTTCTGGCTGGCACTATGTTTCCTGATTACCCTAGGGAACACTCTAAGAAAGTCATAGGAACTCTGATGTTCTATCTATCACAGGTTGTTGCTGTAAATATTATTTCTAACATTATGGAACTCCAGTAGAAGATATTTTCTTCTAAGAATTGTGCCAGGAAAAAAATTACTTATCTAGAAAAATATTTTGCTTTATGCTCGTGGACAATGCCAATACTTTAATTGGGTTGTTACCTACTTTCTATATCATCAGAAAGACTGGCCATACATTTATTGTTCAAATTTACTCCAACTATATGGAGACTTTATAACCTGTCTAATAACTTAACAATTTTACAATTTTCTAAACTTTCCTTTTGGACATCATCTCTTCAATGTACATTTCCCCTGACCATACATTTCCTTTTTATGTGGATTTTGAGAAATTAAAATGACTGTACAAATGGATGCCTTACCTGGGAGTTGATCATTTTCTGCACCTCTTGCATAGAATCTATGAATAGATGGAGAGCAGTAAGACATGAAAAACCAGGTCTGAAAAGTAGAACCCTGCTGTATCAGAACAGAGGCACCCACATGTCAGACTCAGAACATACCACTTAGGAGAATGCTTGAAGCAAGTCAGAAAAGTCCATAATGTTTTATAAGCATCAATCCTTCTCTGCTTGTGATTGTTACGATTAGATAAAATTTAGGTAAGGATGCACATTTCTGTCCTGCTGGCATAACAAGTTGTTAACCTTTGAATCAGTGATATTAATTTTTCTCCCAGCAATGTATTTTTGTATCCTTACATTAAAAATGAGTTAAAAGCCTTGATTCTGAAGCTCAGTATCTCTAGAAGTAATTCCTTCCTGTAATTCTCTAGTATCTGCTCTGAAGCTAAGGAAAGAAATCTCAAACTAGCATGGGTTTTCTTAAGAATACTGGATCCAAGGATGCAGATACACCTTTTTTTTTTTGGTGGTGGTGGTAGGGTTTTTTTGTTTATTTGTTTGTTTGGTAAGATAGAGTGTTCTTTTTAGACTCCACCTCTGTCTCTGTCTTTAGAAACTTACTATCTCCTATAAGCCAGGTCTGGGCTTTTTGAAATGATAACTAGCACGGCTGTGTGGTTCCTGGAAAGGTTAAGATGTGCAAGAGAGATTTACAGCTTTATTTACAGTTTTCACTGGGATGATCTGCAGACTCACCAAGATCTTTAAAAATAAAATCACAAAACTTTAGAAAACCCAAATAAAGGACCAGGAAAAAGACTAATTATAATAAAGTAAAAATCAAAATCAACAAGCAACTAGAAACCACAGACACACTAGAGAGGGAGGGAGTAGGATCAAAACAAGGGGGATGGGAATTGTATGGGGACTATAACCAAGATGAAAATGCATACATTGTGCAAAAATGAAAAATGATTTAAAAATATATAAAAGGAAAAAAATAAAATCACAAAACTTAGCATTCATTGCTCAAATATTTCAAAAGGAGAAGAAATCCAGTTTCTTTCTTTTTATAAGGTGCTATCTTGCAAATAAAATTTGAACACAACTCATCTAGGTGTGAGTTTCAGCTCTTCCACTTACGAAGCGGTGTGTGTCTAGGCAAGTAACTTCATGTCTGTCAGCTTCAGTTAATTCGCGTGCAAAACAGAGAACATACTTATTTCAGAGGATTGCTGTCAGAATTCCGAGAATGCAAAGCAGTTTCTCTAAAATGCTTTCTCCCTGGTCTCTGGAAAAGGCTTAAAATTCCCCGCTGCAGCCTCTGGTCGAGGCAAGGGTGCTCTTGAAGCAGGACAGCAGAGTCGGATGCACAGACTCCCACAGGGACCTGCACGGAGACTGCGCCCGGCCCAGCCTCACCGCGATCTGGGAACCCACCGAGTGGCAACTCCTTTCTCGGGACAGCCCCGGGTCGGAAAGGGCCCACAAACCCAAACACAAAGCCAGCGCACGTGGGGGCCGTGAAGTTTTTATCTTCGGTGGGCTAAACCAACAGACTGGCACCTACCTTTCTAGCCTTCCCTCACGTCCCCCCATCCCAGAGGGTCCTACCTGCCACCCTTTCACTGCCACGCTCCTAGTCTGCCTCTACACCGAAGATCAGGTTACAGAGCCAGCCACCAGCTCCGCGGCCGGCCCCGCCCACACCTCACGCGGCGCTCGGGGGAGGACGGCAGCAGCCAGGCTAGAGACGCACTGCGCATGTGCGGAAGTAACTGCCCACCCAGAATCCCCAGGCCTCCCCGCGGTGAAGGGAATTTACCGGGACTACATTTCCCACAAGCCTTGTGGAGCCTGTTTCCGGAACCCGTCAGAGGGGCTGCCTCTTTTTTTTTTTTTTTTTTTAAGTTTTATTTATTTTTGCATACAAGAGCTGGGGCACAGGCCAGGGGTGTGGGGGTGAGAGGATTCACCAGAGACAGAGCGGGGAGCAGAACAGGCAGACTGACTGAAATACACTGCTGAGGGGAGAAGTGGGTGAGTCAGGAGAGGTCTGCTGTGCCATGTGGGTTGCTCCCTGGCTGGCTGGGAATCGAACTCGTGCTGCAGAGGCTGCGGACAGCCTCATAGGTGGCATCTTAATCCTTTGCGCCACCAGGGAGGCCCTGTGCTGCCTCTTTTGGAGGAGAGCCCCTCAGTGGTATGGGTGGGGCTACCCTGAGATCGATGCTCATTTTGAAAAGGGTAGTGTAGATATCATTTTCGTTTAAAAAGATAAACATCCGAATTTTTGATACTAGAAAATCTAATCCTTAATGCTAAGAGAATAATTTACTTAGTGGGATTTCTTTTAGAAATATACTAGTTTAGGTCAGGGGGATGAGAGCAACCAACAAGGAAGACTGAGAAAGAATAACCTGGGGGGATTATGGAAAAGTAGGAGACCTTGGATCGTCAAAATCAAGAGGCGATAGAGTTTCCAGAAGGTGGAAGTGAAGTGATCCACTATGTTAAGTACTGTTGATAGGTCAAGTAACATGAGAATTTAAGACTTGACCATTGTATTCAGCAACGTGAAGTTTGTTGGAACATGCAGTTTTGTCAAGTGTGTCAAGTGTGGAAGTCTGATAAGTGGGATGAAGTAGGAGAGGAAGTGGAGAAAGCAAATATAGGCAGTACTTTTTTTTTAAGTTTTGCGTTTTAAAGATAGCAAAAGAGAAATCTGTCATTGCATGTGGATTTTGGGTCCAGAATTCTTTTAAGATTTGGAAGAAATTACAGTATATTTATATCGTTAAATGATACAGTAGAGAGGGGGAAATTGACAATACAGGGGAGACAGTACAGTTGCAGGAGGAAAGTTCTTGAGAAAAATGAAATCCAATACATAACTGGAACGATCATTTCTAAGTAAGTGTAGACAATGCATTCATTGAAATAAAAGGGTATGCAGAATTTACAGGCACAGATGCAGATAGGCACACGTATTTGGTGGTGGTGAAAGGATGATGTGCTTTTCTAAGGACTTCTGTTTTCTCAGACGGAAAGCTGAAAGTAAAGATAGGGAGAGGTTTCAGAAGTGAAAATAAGGAATACATCATTACATTGACACTTTTTCCCATATTTCAACACCTGTGAAGTTGCTTTTACAAATGATGGTTTACCAGTTCAATTGGCAGCATTTTTTCCCCTCTTAGTATGTAAAATAATGATGTATCTTACAATCAAAGTCATGTGAGATTCTAATGTTACTTAGGACTGTGGGAGAGTGAGTGGATTAAGGAAATGGACTACTGTCCAGCAGCATTAAGAATTCAATTGTTACTAGGAACCATTGACTTTACCGGCATTATCAGGGACATAAAGACATTTGTCTATCTCATGCTTTAAAAAAATCATTTCTTGGGACCTCCCTGGTGGTGCAGGGGGCTAAGTCTTAGCACTATCAAGCTATCCGCAGCCACTACAGCAGAAGCTCCATCCCCAGCCAGGGAGGTGATCCACATGGTACAGCAGACCTCTCCTGACTCACCTGCCGCTCTCCTCAGCAGTGCATTTCACTAGATCTGCCTGTTCTGCTCCCCATTCTGTCTCGGGTGAATCTTCTCACCAACCCCCCTCACACCTCTGGCTTCCACCCAAGTTCTTGTCCAATCTGGATACCTTTTTATGTTTTCCTTGACTCAATGCATGAAATATATTCACCACTACAATGAATAAAAATGGTAATAGGCAACATAACTGCCCTTTTCCTGAACTTACGGGGAAAATATTGTCTTTCACCATTGAGTGTGATGTTGACTGTAGGGTTTTTTGTAGATGCCCTTCATGAAGTTGAAGTTCTCTTTTAATTTTCCAGTAGTTTTTTATGAAGAATGAATTAATGTTTTATCAAAACATTTTTTCATCATAGAACTATATGGCTTTTCACTTGTGAATTATGCTGATTTTAAAAATGTTAAGCCAATCTTGCAGTCCTTGGGTAAATTTCGCTTGGGGATGGTATATTGCCCTTTTTATGTATTGTTGGACTGTATTTACTAAAACTAAAAATTTTTTTGCATCTATCTTCATGGGGTATACTGGTCTACGGGTTTTGTGTGTGTGTGTAATATCTGGTCTGGCATTATAATATATATACTATCTGCCAAAATCTCATTGGCATTATACAATGAGTAGAGAAGTTTCCTCCTCTTTTTCTGGAAGTTTGTGAGCCTTTGGTATTACTTCTTCCTTAAAGAATTCAGCCGAGAAGTCATCTGGGACTGGAGTTTTCTTTGAGGAAAGGTCTTTAGCCAATTTCTTTATTAGATATATTACTTAGGTTTCTTTTTGAGTAAGCTTTGGTGGTTTGTATCTTTTTTTTTTTTAAAAGATTTATTTTTATTTATTTATACAAGCACTGGGTACAGTCAGAAGCGCAAGAGGGTGAGAGAAATCACCAGAGCCAGAGCGGGGAACAGAACAGGCAGACTGACAAAACACACTGCTGAGGGGAGCAGCGGGCAGCAGGAGAGGTCTGCGCGCCATGTGGGACCCTTGCCCCATGGCTGGGGATAGAACCGGTGCTGCAGAGGCTGCAACCCAGCGCTCAACTGCTGCGCCACCAGGGGAGGCCCGGTGGTTTGTATCTTTTAAGGAATTTGCCTGTGTCATCTAAGTTGTCAAATATATTGGCAAAAAATTGTTCATATTTCCTTATTAGTCCTTATTAATCTATCTGTAATAATTGTAGTGATGTCACCTCTGTCATTGCTGGTACTGGTCATGTGCCTGTACTTTTTTTTCCCTGAGTGGTCTAGCTACAACTTTTCAATTTTATTGATCTCTAAGAATCATCTTTTGATTTCATCAATTTTCTCTTTATCTGTTTTCTATCTCATTTGTTTCAGTAATGGTATTTCATTTTTAATGTTTCCTTTGGGTTTCATTTTCTTTTTTAGTTTTAGGTTGACACTGAGGTCAGTAATTTGAGAGCTTTCTTCAATTCATAAAATACAAATTACCAATAAAGGATAAATATTCATCTTCTGAGGTTAATCTAAATAGTGCAAATTAATATAATACTAAATATATTAATTATTCATATTGGCATTATTTAAGAATTATTATAATACTAGAGTCAGGGTGTGGAAGAACATACTTTTATATACTATTCTCTGAAAAATGATGAGTTAAGTTATCCAACACTATGACAAGTACAAAAGATTCTTGCTAGGTACACTTCTGCAGGGTAATCTGGATGAAGATGTATTCTAAATGTAAACATCTTCTATCCCAAAATTTCTAGGCCTAAGGAGGAAAATCAGAAAATATTTAGAATATCTTATCTATCTATCTGGGCTATATACATTTATGTCTCTATATCCAACCCTTTAAGTATGCTTAACAGAGAAGAATTAATTAAATGATGAATTATATTATACATGTACATGGAAACAATGTATTATCAGCTGTTAATATATGAAAATATATCCACTATAAAACTTGACTGATACCAGAATGTTAGAGGATTTGTGTCCAATCATATACACTCCAACACACACATATTTGTTTTATGCTTTGTTTATATAACCATAAAAACATTTTGAAGAACCTTATTGATTTCCTATAAATGGTTATCTTGGGGTTCAGATTTAGTGGGTGTGTCTATGAGAGTTAACATTTAGTTTCTACTGAATATATATAGTGTTTGCAGTAGAAAAAGATAGAAAATAACCTAAGTACATAGAGACCTGGTTAGATACACAACAGTCTATTTTTACAAGGGAATACTTTCCCGTTGCTGAAAGGAATGAGGGGTGATGTCAACGTCATTCTTTCCTCTGGCCTCTTTGTTGATATTTGCAGATGGCTCCACTGCCTTCTCAGATGACCAAGATTCCCATTACCTTTACATTTTTCTGAATGTTATTTTTTACTTTATAAAAAGAGTATTATACTATATATAACTTTTGGGGATTACTTTTTCACTTACTATTGTGGTAAGATTTATCCACATTGTTGAATGTCTTCGTAGCCCATCTGTTTTGGCTGCCATAACACATCATGCCCTTTTCTAATGATGGGCACCTGGATAGTTTCTAGGTGTGGTTTTGCTATTGTGAAAGAGCTATAAAGTATATTCTTGTTCCTATTTCCTGTTGTAATATGTATGATATTATGCATATACATGTATAATATGTATAAGAATTTCCTGTTCTATTTGTGTAAGAAATGGTATTACTGGATTACAGTATATAAATGTCCTAAGTTATTCGTATATTGTATTCTCATAGCTAATACTTTCATGTTTTAGGACTTCCTGTTGCTATTTTATTTTCCTTTATTTCTTTGTACACATTTATTATGTTTAAATTCTTGGTCACTCATTCCACTAATTCTGCTTTAGAAATATGTTTATGTATATACTTAAAAGCTTGCAATAACATATATGCAACTATTCATAGTGGGTGTCTTTGAAGGTGTAAAGTCATTAAAAAAGCCATCAGTTTAAATGACCTGGGCAGCATTTTATTTTGTGTAATTATATAAAACAAAGACTTGATTAAGAAAAAATAGGAAAGAGACTTCTCAGAAACCGAGAATCTTCTTAGGAAAACAATGATTGCTGAAGGATACCTTTTCTCCAGTCATGATGATCATCTTGGGATGGTCGTCTTGGGAACTGATGGTGAAGTTCCAGAGACAGTAGAATTCCAGATCTTCCCCCTTATCCCTCTTTTTTTTTTTTTTGTGGAACCCTCGCCGGCAGCTGGGGAACGAACCGGAGCTGCAGAGGCTGCGGGCAGCCTCGCAGCCCAGCGCTCAACTCCTGCGCCACCAGGGGAGGCCCCTTTATCCCTGACTCTTGGTCCTGGATTTGTGTGGTTAAAGGTGAGGAAATATGAAATGAACTAAAATGAGAACACTCTGAATGCCAAGCTCAGAAATTGGTCCCCTTTACTTCTGCTGAGTACATAAGAGAGATCTAAATCTCTGAAGGCCTACCTTCTGTTCATTTGGCTTTTTTGGCTTGAGGCTCGAGCATGGAGCTGCGCATCCAGCCACCCTTCTTCCATTCACAGATATCTGCATAGCTACATGTCTGGCACTTCCAAGCCTCTTCCACATCAATTCCTTGAGGTTCTCGGTGGCCCATCCAATAGGCCATATAGTGCTGCACCTTGCTTCTCACCTCCTTCTCTTCAAAGGCCACAATCTCTGTACCCAGCAGAGTGGCAGTTTCTTGATGGATATACTCAATCTTTAGGTTATCAATAACTGGGAGGTCAGACAATGTTAGAGACAAAAAGACCAGCTCCATGAGGTCACCTAAGGACTTCACAGAAAAGCCTCCCTGCCTGGCATGTCTCAGCACCGAAGATCCCAGTGGTTTTTCTGGATGCAATTTTGCATGGTGGACTAGGCTGGCAGTGGTCACTTTCCCTTGTACCATGGCATCAAAGATATATTTGTATAGGCTGACCTGGAAACAATCTTTTTTTTTCTGAGCTTCTACAGGGAGCACAGGGCGCCTCCGTGTCTTGAGCTCAGCCAGTTCCAGCTCCCCCTTGTCTGTATAGTGCAGCTCATCAATCACTCCAACAAGAAGCACACCCTCTACTTCTCCAAACACTGGGAACTCTCTGATGCGTCCTCCTGACTGCAGCGTAGGAATCATTGATAATATGTTCAGAAACTTAACCGCCCAAGAATCTTCTTTACTGGTGATAGAGATAGTCACAAGATCATGAACTTCTAGTTCTTTGGCTAGGTGGATGCTGGCACCAGTGTTTAAGACAGTGGCCTTCTCGGGTGTCAAGAAATCAGGAAGTTGCTTCTTATATACTATTTGCTGTTCACACCAATCCTGAGTAGACAGATCAGTGACATACAAACATTTAAGGTGAAATAGCTCCAGGGGTGATGAGATGCCCAATTCTCTTTTCCTCTTTGGTAAGTCTGTGAACCTGTCATCTTTCCCAGGGAGTTCAGAAGAAGGGCCAGGTTTGCTAAGCGAAGAACTTGACTCTTGGGTATCTTCCAGGTCCAGAAAGTCTAGAAATTCTGAATCACTAAAGTCTGAGAACCCTGAGGCCTCTGCTGACACTGATTCCTCTTCCCCAGTCTCAGTCATAGCACAGATGTGGGTCAGAAGAGAGTCCTGCATATCATATCATGTTAAAGAAATTATCCAAATAAAATAAAATAAATTAAGTATTTCCCAAATGCACTTTCAAATTCCAATAAGAATCATGACTCATTATTTATTCTTTAAAGAAGCTTACTTATTACCAATTAGTAATGTTACAGTGATGTAGTACAGGTACAATTTATAATAGCTTTTGTGTGAACACTGGGCAAAATTTTCAAAGTGAAAAATAGTTTTATTCCTGAATCTGGCACTAAAATATTATGTACAATTTTAAGCATGTCACCTTCCTTGACCTCAATTTCTTCAGATTCAAAATGCAACTGGATATTATTTATTGTTTTAAGGGAATATAGATCGTAGATCTTTATAAATGTTGGAGCAATGTTTGGCAGTTTTCCATGGGCCACTTCTACAATTCCTTTGATAAAAAGTCCTTGACTGGAAAAATAAATCTCAATGACAAACTGTTCCTTGAGAAAATCAGCTCTACAATGATTGTTTTTAAATGTAGTTCACATCTTTTTCTTTCTCCTTTTCTTAATAAACTTGTCCTTTTAAAATGTAAAAAAAAATTAAATGTAGTTCTCAAGAAGATATTATGGCAAAATTCAGACCTATATACATACATAAAGACCTACTTATGTAGATCTTATATACATAGTCATAGCATGAAGTAATGAGAGAGGATGTTCAAAGTAATACATGAAAATCAGCTGCCTTCCATACTTGATATACATGATGGAAAAAGCAGCAGCTCTTAGTAGGTATTAATTTACCCTAACCAACTTTATAAATGATCTTCCTAACATTCTAGAAATTAGTATTCACCACTAAGTTATTTTTTTGTTGTTGTTCGACACCAGGAATTCAAACCACTAAATTTATTTTCTCCCTCAAAAAATTATTTTAGGATGGAAAGAAAATATAGATAGAGGGCCTCCCCAGTGGAGCAGCGGTTGAGCGCTGGGTTGCGAAGCTGCCCGCGGCCCCTGCGGCGCCGGTTCAATCCCCGGCTGCTCCCCGGCCACCGGAGGAGGGTCCCACATGGCGCGCAGACCTCTCCTGCTGCCCGCTGCTCCCCTCAGCAGTGTACTTCGGTCCTTCTGCCTGCTCTGCTCCCTGCTCTGGCTCTGGTGGATTCTCTCACCCTCCCGCGCTTCTGACTGTACCCAGTGCATGTATAAACAAACAAACAAACAAATAAAACATGCCTCTATTAAAAAAAAATTAAAAAAAAAAAAGAAAATATAGATAGCTAGTAAAAAAGTTATTTGCAATGAACAAAAATAATATGGTGCTAAGATTTTTGCTCATACCTATATTGTTTTGTAGGCGACTACGGTAGCAACAAAACACAGAATTGTACTTTTACACAGGGGTCTTAAATTGTAAATGTACCATAAATGATGACAATTTCAAAATAAGAAATTTTATTTGAACTATAAAATCCCTGAATGTTGGCGAATCTTTAGCCTCCACCAACAAACTAAAGCTAAATGGTGGGCCTCCCTGGTGGCGCAGGTGGTTGAGCGCTGTGCCTGAGGCTCTCCGCAGCCTCTGCAGCGCAAGTTCTATCCCAGCCAGCCCGCGAGGGTCCCACTTGGCAAAGCGGACCTCTCCTGTTGCCCCTGCTGCTCCCCTCAGCAGTGTATTTCGTTAGTCTGCCTGTTCTGTTCCCCACTCTGTCTCTGGTGAATCCTCTCACCCTCCTGTGCATCTGGCCTGTACCCCGGTTCTTGTATAAATATATAAATCATTAAAAAAAATAAAGCTAAATGGTAATTAACATGTATACTTTTGCTTTTTGTTTTTTCCATGGGGGGGGGATTAAATCCAAATGAGTTGATTTTGAAAATATTTTATATCAAATATCTATATCTGGGCTGTTCAAATATAGCCACTACCCACATGGGACTTAACTAAAATTAAATCAAACTTAAAATTCTTTTTCTCAGTTGCATTAGCCACATTTCAATTGTTCAGTAGCTACATGTAGCTAGGAGGTACATAGTAAGGCAAAGACATAGAACATTTCCCTGAACAGAGAAAGCTCTATTTAACAGTAATGATTTAGATCATTTCATATGTATGCATTAACTCTTGTAAACTCTTACAAGATATGGACTTTCTACTTGTTGTATACGTAAGATTGAGAACATGAAAGCCCTAATCAGGTAAGTGAAATGTCTTGTAGAGAAGATACAAAAGTAGGGCATTCCCTGGGGAAATAGTCATCTAAAAGAAGAAAATAATATACTAGGGACGCGTAATTTTTATTCAGTCACCTGGACTTTCTTGTGCAGACAAAATCCAAACTAGAGCATGACGCAGTTCATTATCCAAATTGCAGTGTATCTTTGTGATACAAAATGATTTAACATGGTACATGGGCCAACATTTTTAGTAATATTTTGGAATAAATATATAGCTGTTTAACATGTCCATCACACACATAATTTCATAAATGGTGTTTCTGAGATGTTTTCTTTTTAAATAAATGTGAGAAAATAAAAATAAAAGAATAACAATATAGGTAATACATAAGAGCAAAAATCATTAAGTGGTAAGTGAATAAGATGTTTGGGAAACACCAGCATACTAGGAAGAGATAAGACATGTATCTAATTCCTCTGCTAAATAAGATCAAGTTTTAGGAGAAGAAACTTACACACCTGGAATGTGGCTGGTCTTCCTCTTCACAGGGACAGGCAGAATACTGAAATGATAAGACTGGGGGAGGAGAAAGGAGCTCTGAAAGACGAGGTCTGCATAGAAGAATCCAGATGAGCAGCTTTGGGCCTTGCTGTGATAGAATGAGAGGGGAGACTTTTGGTCCTTTCTCACCTACCAGGCCTCACATTGTGGCGCTTCCTCCTCTCTGATCCACACAGCACAGACTGTTGCCCACCCTAGAGCCTAGGTAACGCTTGCCTTTCTCCTGGGGCAAATTCTCCATGATTTCTTCATTTTCCCCATACCCTGGATGCAGTTACTTGATCCAAACCCCTGCTCCCTGAAAGTAAAAGGATCAAAAATATCCAAGGTCCCCCAAGAGTTCTTTTTTTTGTTTTAATTAATTAATTTATTTATACAAGCACTGGGTATAGCCAGAAGCGAGGGAGGGTGAGAGAATTCACCAGAGCAGGCAGAAGGACCTAAGTACACTGCTGAGGGGAGCAGGGGGTGGCAGGAGAGGTCTGCGCGCCATGTGGGACCCTCCTCCGGTGGCCGGGGAGCAGCCGGGGATCGAACCCGGCAAAAGAGTTCTGAGATCAGTTCCCTCTTCCAGAACCAACCTCAGCCCAGAAGTTCGTGCAGAGCCCTGGATGCAGAAGCAACCATCTCTGCAGGGTTGCTACCACCTGCAGAACTGCCACTACCTTCACCCTTAACATCCGATGTCTTCGGTACAGCCAGGACTCGCGGGTTCCGAGTACTGCCGTGGGCGGGGACTTCCCCACGGTCTCCAAACCACCCTCACTTTCTAGTTCCTCGAAAGCCCTAAGTTTACTGAGCACTTTCTACAATGCCCTGGAGGAGCCAGGAATGAGAACAAGGGGTCGCCGGGCTCGGGATGAGGTCCCAGCTTACCGCAGGGTCTTCCAAGGATGAAAAATCCAGAAGCTACAGGGCCCGGGTCTGCTGCGGGCCGCTCTCACCGCGGGAAGGGGCTGGACGCGGCAGGCGCAGGCCCGAACCCTGGGCTGGGAAGCGCAGGCCCGAACCCTGGGCTGGGAAGCGCAGGCCCTCGCCTCGGCGGTGCCACTCTCCGGCCTCCCCCTGACCTTGGGCACGCCCGCGAACCCCGGGCTCCAGCCCGCGCCTCCACGCTCTCGGAGCTGCTCCCGGACTCTTCCCGGACCAGGGGGTGCAGGATGCGGAGACGCTCTCCCCGCGCCGACTCACCACGCAGACGCCGCAAGACCCAGCCCAGAAAGCAAAGCGGCCCCCCAAGTCCCGCCCCCCAGCCCCTGCGGCGCCGCCCAGTCCTCGCGCACTTGCGCCTTCCTGCTACGGGTCGAACCCGGGTCCGCCTCCGGGCGCGCTCGCCCAGCGCCCCTGCGCCCCTGCGCCCCTGCGCCCCTGCGCCCCTGCGCCCCTGCGCCCCTGCGCCCTGCGCCCCTGCGCCCCTGCGCTGCCTGCGCGCTTGGGCTAAGCCCCGAGGGCACCGCGCTACCAGCTGACCCGCCCCGAAGGGCTGTCTCGGCTACCCCCAGGCCTGCCCGGGTATGGTCTGGGCTTCTCTTTTCCCCGATGCACCCGGCCTCTGCGCCGTCAGTGCTGCATCTTGGCTTTTCCGCTTTGGGTTCGGTATCCCGCTCTTGCACCTGCGTCCGCTTTCTCAGCTGAGAGAACAACCATGTACTCATCCTTCAAAGAGCCCTCACCTCGTCGGTGCATTATTTTTTCCTACTTGCTTATTGTTGAGAAATCTAACACAATTATATACCCAAGTATAAAATATAGTAAGTATTGACTAGACTTGTCACTGGCGCGTAGAAAAGTATCAGGCCCTTCCGTGCTTTATTTTAGTTTTATCACATACTGGGTGATAGAAACTGAAATCTGGAGCTGATGTAACCATAATTTGCAATGAGGTATTTAAAACAAACAGAAAAGCCAAAATGAAGAAAACACAAGTAGAGGTGAGAGATGGAGAGAAAACTGCCTAGGTTTTCCAAAGTGCATCAGGTTCTGGTCACAGTCCTTGAAAAATCACAAAGGACCTTAAATACTGGAGTAGGGCTGGGCGGCGGGGAAATGCATCAATTATTTCACAGAATCACTAATAAAATATTACCAGATCAAAAAAGAAACATGGACTAAATCATTGTGGTCCTGGTGTTCAGTTTTTGCCACACAATATGCATTAACTAATAAATGCTCATTCATTCATGTTTATTAATTAGATCATGCTCCTCCTCTTTCCTGCCTCCCTCTGTGTGTTAACTGTTACACACTGGCATAACCATCCTCTAAAATGTTATGATTAGTTGGCTATTTAATGCAGTACCATGATTCAACTGTCAGTTTCCCTTTGCTCCAATCAAAAGGGTTGCAGTCAAAATGATATTTGCTAAGGCAGTTGGATCAGCCTCCTTAAAAGACTGTCAGTCATCAGAGTTCCACCCTCAGAAATTAGGGACTAGAGCAATTGGTGGAAAAGTGTCACTTCTAGAATTCTCCAGCTGAAATTTTGGTGGGCCTGGCTATTTGATAAAATTCAGATTCTTTTCTGGCTCTGGGGATGGCAACTGCTGTTTCTGGGATGTACGGCAGTAGGTATTTCTAAGTTGTCATTAAAACAAGCTGATCCTTCCTTCATGGTTGATTGGGCTGCTGGTCCAGGAGACACTTCAGCCCCAGATTCAGCTCTTAGTTTTGTATCTTTCTGGTGGGAAAATAAATTGCTCCAGCCATTGAGGGCCAATTTGGTAATATCCACCATACACATGTTTATACCCTCTAGCTGAGAAATTCTAGTTCCAGGAATTTACCCTACGTATTACTTACATGTATGAGAAATGAAAATGTATAAGACTATTTATGAAAACATTGTATCAACAGAAGATTGGAATGCCAAAAGTCCTTCCACAGTGAACTGGCTAAATGAAGTACATTCAAACCAAGGAATACTCCACAGCTATTATAAAGAAGTGAATAGGAAATCAAAATCAACAAAAAAAACTATGAACCAGAGACACTTTTTGGGGGGTGGGGGGCGTTAGGGGAAGGATTGGGGTCAGAATGGGGCGTTTGCAATTGTATGGGGATATATAAAAATAAAATTTAATATTTAAAAAAAAAAAAAAAAAAAAAAAAAAAAGACATTTCTCCAAAGAAGAAATGCAAATGGCCAACAGGCATATGAAAAAATGTTCAACATCCCTATAACCAGGCAAATGCATATTAAAACCACATTGAGATGCCACCTTACACCAGTAAGAATGGCACATATCAATAAAACCAGCAATAACAAATGTCGGTGAGGATGTGGTGAAAAAGGAACTCTCCTGCATTTGCTGGTGGGGGTGCAGACTGGTCCAACCACTATGGAAAGCTGTCTTGAGGTTCCTCAGTCTACTAAAATGGAGCTACCATACGACCGGCAATCCACTACTAGGGATCTATGCAAGGGACACAGAAACATTGATTCAAAGAACACTTGTACCCTATGTTTATTGCAACACTATTTACAATAGGAAAAACCTGGAAACAACCCAAATGCCCAAAAGTAGATGACTGGATCAAGAAGATGTGGTATATGTACACAATGGAATATTATTCAGCAATCAAAAAAGATAAACTAATGCCATTTGAGCAATGCAGCAGAAGGAATTATGTTCAGTGAAATAAGCCAGAAGGAAAAAGAAAAATATCGGATAGTTTCACTTATAGGAGGAACATAGGGAACCCAATAAGACATCAGTGTAAAAAAAATAACAGTACAAAACACAACAAAGCAAAAACAGACAATTATAAATCAGAGACATCCGGCAGGGGAGGAGGAGGGGAGGACCAGGGGGAGGGAGGGAGGATCACAGGGGACTGAGGTGAGGGTGCACAGGTGCACTGGTGAAGGAAACTCTATGGGGACTACACCTGAGGGGGTAGGGGGAAGCAGATATTATTTAAAAATGAACAATGATGTGAAAAAAATTAAAAAATAAATCTAAGGTGTGTCTTTTGTAAAATAAAAAAAAAAAAAAAAAAAAAAAAAAAAAAAAAGAAGTGAATAGGAAAAAAAAAAGTGAATAGGCACTTTATCAACTGATGCTGGGAAGACCTCCATGATATATTATAGCATTAATTGGCAAAAGTAATATGCAGATGCACTTGTGTAGGAAACTGTCATTTATAGTTAAAAAGAAAAACTCTGTGTTTGTATTATCTTAGCTACAAATACAAAAATCTCCGAAAGGGTACACCAAAAAATAGTTATAAAAAATGATTGTATCGCTCTTTCATAGGTTTTCTGGTGATATGGAAAACAGTAAGGGTGCTTTTTACTTACACAACTGCCTTTTGAACAATATACCACATGACAGTTTTGCGCATTAAAATTTTTTTCACTTAAGAAAATAGAGGTGGTGATATTTTAAACAGCAATTCCCAAAATGCTAGCCTGTAAATCAATGAATGCCCCTGAAGAATAATTTAGTAATCCACCAAGAAAACAGAAGAAAAATACGTGAATTTTTCACATTGTTGAATTTAATGTGATGAACCATCCTTTATTTTTTATTAAGTACTTCATAGGGGTTAAGCGAGAGTAATTATAAATGCAATGGTTATTTACACAATGGGCAAAATTTTAAGTTGGGATTATATCACTTCCTCAAATTTAGAGTGCTTAAAATTTAAAGCCCAAGAGCCCTAATTTAGACTTGGCTTTTGCTTTCATGTTGAAAAATCTGTCCTCACACATTGTTTCGGAAGGGGTTCCTCCTGTGTATTTCATGGTGTCGACTAAGTGATGAATTATAGCTGAAAGATTTTCCACATTCATTACACTCATAAGGTTTCTCTCCAGTGTGATGTCGCTGATGTTTCTTAAAGGATGAATCATGCCTATAGGCTTTCCCACAGCGGTTGCATTCATATGCTTTCACACCAGTATGCACAGTTTTGTGGTTGCTGAGGTGTATCCTCTGCCTAAAGGCCTTGCCACATTCCTTACATTTGTAGGGTCTCTCCCCAGTATGGATCCTCTGGTGATGTGTTAGGTACGCCCTGTGACTAAAAGTCTTGCAACATGCACTGCACGCATAGGGCTTCTCCCCAGTGTGAATTCTTATATGTTCACTAAGGTGTCTAATCTGCCGAAAGGTTTTCCCACATTCATTGCACGTAAAGGGTTTCTCTCCAGAATGAGTTCTCAAATGTTGGATCAAGCTAATGTTCTGGCTGAAAGCTTTCTGACATTTATCACACACATAGGGTTTCTCCCCAGTGTGGGTTCTATGATGCTGATTGAGAGAGGAGCGATGTCTGAAGGCTTTGCCACATTCTTCACATTCAAAGGGTTTCTCCCCAGTATGGATCCTCTGGTGAGTAGTAAGGGATGCACTTTGACTAAAAGCCCTTCCACATTCCTTACATCTGAAAGGCTTCTCACCAGTATGTATTCTCATGTGTTCAGTAAGGTGAATGGGTTGTTTGAAAATTTTTTCACATATAGTACATTCATAGGTTTTTGTTCTTATGTAACTTGTTGCATGATTAATAAAGCCTAGTTTGTATTTGTTCCTCTTTTTAGGTGTGTTACACTTATGGTGCCTTTGTTCTAGAATAAGATTTGAACTCACAATATCGTCTTCAAATTCGTTACTTTCTTGGTCTCTCCTGTTGTGGGTCAAGATGGCTTGTCCTACGTCTCTCCCATGGGTCTCCTGGTGCCTTTCTAACTCATTGTCAAATTTGGAGATTTCTCTCAATGTGGAGTAAATGACATTATCCTTTACGAATCTCTCCATCATATCATGATAGAACTGCTCCTGTAAGATGCCACTCGTTGCAGCTGATGCATTTGTTTCTGTTTTACTCTTCAAGTCTGAAAGAAATGGAAAAAAAATACAAATAACTCATTCATATGCTTTCAAAAATATTGTTGTGAATATGGAATAGAGATTTAGAGAACAATACACATAAAATATACAACATTTCTTACTATATTTACACATGGGTATTCAGTCTGGAGAGAAAATAGTAAATCAAATTAAGAAATAATAAACTGTAAAAACATGATATTTTATAGAGAGTAAAATTTGAGTATTTTAGTACTATTTCTCATAATACTAAATAATGAAATTCAAAACTATAACTCAAGAATATGTCTTTTTAAATTCACAATTACTTTTGGAAAACAAACTTGGCAAAATTAACAGATGTTCCTCTCCCCACTCCAGCAGCAGCAAGAGAGAGAACTTAGAATAAATCATAAGAAAATTAATCTTATTTTATTTTATTTATTTTTTACATCATTTTTCATTTTTGCACAATGTATGCATTTTCATCTTGGTTATAGTCCCCGTACAATTCCCACCCCCCTTGTTTTGACCCTACTCCCTTCTCCCTCCTGTCTTTGGTTTATAGTTGCCTATTGATTTTGATTTTTACTTTATTATAATTAGTCTTTTTCCTGATCCCTTATTTGGGTTTTCTAAATACCTGCTATGAGTGAGACCATCCGGTATTTTTCTTAATCTGTCTTTTACTGAAAATTGTACAAATATTTGTGCATTTTTCTGTTTCTATACTTAATAGTTTATCCCTGGAAGTATAATTTATGCAATAATCCAGATGGTGATGCTACTATTGATATGCTCTATGGAAAGATCCTTAAACCTTTAAACTTCTAATTCATTGTACAATTACTAGTATCTCAACTGACAACTCCATATTCCTGAAAGTTTAAAACCTCTTGTAAGATTATTTTTTGTCAACAAAGAAGGATCATTAGAACATCCAAAAATTCAAATTCTTAACAAATATACATAGGCGATAATGAAGTCTGTGTTCTGCAGGCCCCTAATTCTGATCTTAAATAGGGGAGGAGGAATTAAAGAAGACAGGGGAAAGAGAAGCCTTCTCAGCCCTCCTTCCCTTTCAGTGTCCAAGTCCATGGCAGGCCCACACTAGGGCCTGAACTTTGAGTGAAGTCAGCAGTTTTTATTTTGGCACTAAAATAAACATTTGATTAAAATTATACTATTATTATTTAAAAGGACTAGAACACTATGGGATAGTTTAGATATTTCCTCCAGAGGCAGAGAAAGAACAAGACAGCTTTGTTATTTTCATTACTCTAAGCTGAAAAAGAGAAACACAAGAATATACAAATTATTGGAATGAATAAGAGTGAAAGAGGTGGCTGGCTACTAAATCAATATGTACCATACCAAGGGTGTTATTACATATCAGCAACAAACAAAATACCTAATTTAAAAATATATACCATCTAAAATAACAACAAAATATAAGTCTTTAGGGTGAATCTAACAAAAGATATACAATATAGGGGCCTCCCCAGTGGCACAGCGGTTGAGCGCTGGGTTGCAAAGCTGCCCGCAGCCTCTGCAGCACCAGTTCGATCCCCTGTTGCTCCCCGGCCACCGGAGGAGGGTCCCACATGGCGCGCAGACCTCTCCTGCCACCCGCTGCTCCCCTCAGCAGTGTACTTCGGTCCTTCTGCCTGCTCTGCTCCCCGCTCTGGCTCTGGTGAATTCTCTCACCCTCCCACGCTTCTGACTGTACCCAGTGCTTGTATAAATAAATAAATAAATCTTGGGCCTCCCCGGTGGCGCAGCGGTTGAACGCTGGGTTGTGAAACTGCCCGTGACCTCTGCGGCGCCGGTTCGATCCCCGGCTGCTCCCCGGCCACCGGAGGAGGGTCCCACATGGCGCGCAGACCTCTCCTGCCGCCCGCTGCTCCCCTCAGCAGTGTACTTCGGTCCTTCTGCCTGCTCTGCACCCCGCTCTGGCTCTGGTGAATTCTCTCACCCTCCCGCGCTTCTGACTGTACCCAGTGCATGTATAAAAACAAAACAAACAAACAAGTAAAATAAATAAATAAAGCATGCCTCTATAAAAAAAAAAAAAAAAAATAAAAAAAAAATAAATCTTAAAAAAAAAAAAAAGATATACAACATGTGTAAGATTTTTATGGGGACAAATCCTAAAACTTCTTTGTTTCTAAAAAAAAAAGGAAATATCAACACATGGAGCAATATACCATATTCCTGGACATTGAGACTCAGCCTAACAGTAATTCCCCCAGAAATTGATCTGTAAATTCAATTCTATTCCAATTAAAATGCCACCAGAGGGGGTTGTGTGTGTGTGTGTGTGTGTGTGTGTGTGTAATTTGATGCACTCATGTATTTTGTATGGTAAAGTAAGAGGCTAAGAATAGACAGGACAAATTTGAAGAATTAAGTCGAAGAACTACCTCTACCAGATATTGCGTGTCACTATGAAACACAGTAGTTAAGCCAGCGTGGCACTGGAGTATGAAGAGAAAAATAAAAACATGGAATAGAGAAAGACCAGAAACAGACTCATGCATACAAGGAAGTCTGACAGGGGACAGAGTAGCATTAACTGCTAAATAAATGCTTCCTGGTTGGTTATACTCATGGACAGAGTTAAACTAGATCCTCACTTCACAGATTCCAGGTAGATTAAACATAAATATGAAAAGCAAAATTATAAAATATAGGATAATTTGTTATTTTTGCCTATAAATCTTTAAAAAGAAAAATAAGCAAGCAACGAATATGAATTTATAGAAGAGGAATCCTGGATATATGGTTGATAAACATGAAAAATAAGATACTATGTACACCCAGTGAATTTTCAAATGTTTAAAATTTGACAATGCCAAGTGTTGACAAAGACACCGAGTTCTGGAAACTCTCAAAACCTCTTGATGACAGTGTACAAACTGGTGCAACTGATCTGAAAAGCAATTTGCTAATACCATGCAAAATGACAGTTCATATACTCCATGCACAATTTTGCTTCAACCAAATATCTCAGAGAAACACTCATATATATATACAAGATTAATACACAAAGATTTACTGCGGCACCTTTGTAGCCCCCGAATTAGAAACTGGAAAATAGATAAATAAATTGCGGTCTATTAATTCAATGGAAATGCATGAACTAGAACAACATGGATAAGTATCAACAGCATGGAATGAGAAAAGCAAGTGAAGAAGGATATATACCACTTATGTAAAGAGTAAGAGCACACAAAGCAAAGCTATACAGTGTTTAAAAACATACACTTATCATAAAAGTATGAAGACACACATGGGAATAACATTTAAACACAGAAAAGTTGTTCATTTCAAAAGTTAAGAGGCGAACAGAAGGAAAGACTTTGGGCATCCCGGTCTAGGTTACCTACGAAAGCACTCTGTCTCAGTCTCACCTGCACTGGAATCTCCCGGGCCTTCTTTCTCCATCATCCATGGCTCTTCTCCTTTCTCCAACTGGGAAATCACACTAGGTTTGGAAAGTTGATATCCTGCATAAGAAGTTAAAAAAAAAAAAAAAAGGAATATGAATGTTTCTGTTGAGGTATAGGAACCATCATCAGAATTTAGTTCCAGCTCTCTGGTATTTAGGGTCCCTGGAAATGGGAAGGGACACCACAGAGTGTCTTTCTATTCTAGCTCCACAATGTAAAGTTGTCCCCCAGGAAGGAGAATCAGATATGCCCCGTTTTGGTTTTCAAAGGAATGAGACATCTCTAATATGGAACCCAAGACAAGCTACAGGGAATCCACATTTCATCACTGGTAAATAATGACTCTCCAGCAATGGGCAGGTTTCTGGATGTATGCTCAGCCCCTCCTTACCCACTGACACCAGGTTCCCGTAGTTCTCCAGCATCACCTCCCGGTACAGATTCCGGTGGGCAGGGGCTAGCTGCCCCCACTCCTCCTGGGTAAAATCCACAGATATGTCCTGGAAGGTCAACAGTTCCTACAACAGCAGATATATCCCGGGTCAGCCAGAGACTGCCTCTATCAAGGTACAAGGAGTTCTTACTGTATTCTAAATACTGGGACAATCTAAGCTAGGTTGACTAGGAGTCTCCTCTGAATCTGTTTGGAAATTCTCTGGAGATGTAATACTTTATTTTTATTTTATTTATTTATTTATTTATTTTTGTGGGACCTTTGCCGGTGGCCGGGGAACAAACCGGCACTGCAGAGGCTGTGGGCAGCCTCGCAGCCCAGCGCTCAACCGCTGCGCCACCAGGGGAGGCCCATGGAGATGTAATACTTTAATATATAGAAAGAAATATGGTAGTAAGTACCTTAGGAAAAAAATTAAGCAGGATAAGGGAAATAGTAAGGACAGGGAGTATATTTTATGTAGGTGATGAGGAAAAGTCTTTCTAAAACAGACCAGAGACATGAATACATGAATTCAGTGAGCCAAAGGCAAGAGCTTCCTTGGCTTCTCTGAGGCACAGAAGGCTAAGCAGCTTGGCTGGAGGCAGGTTAGAGAACCGCAGAGGGAGGATGATGATATCAGAGAGGCTGGGAAGGTGGGGAGAGAGGGAGAGGCCTTTAGCACTCATTGTCATAAAAACCATTCATTCTCGCTGAGCTTAAATTCTGGGGCCCTACTGGAATTGAATGCAAAGATTAGTAAAACTGTCTGAAACTATAGCTTAACACTTTCCTAGCTGAAACATCAAAAATATTTAAAAAAAAAAAAAAACAGTCCTGAGCAATAGTGGCACAGGAAGTTGGCAGGTGGATTAATCAAAACTCGTAGGTATTTACCCAAAGGACACAGAAACATTAATTCCAAAGAGCACCTGTACCCCTATGTTTATAGCAGCACTATTTACAATAGCTAAGCTTTGGAAACAACCCAAATGCCCAAAAATAGATGACTGGATCAAGAAGATGTGGTACATATACACCATGAAATATTACTCAGCAATCAAAAAAGATAAACACATGCAATTTGCAGCAACATGGATGGAGCTGGAAGGGATCATGCTCAGCGAAATAAGCCAGAAAGAAAAAGAAAAATGCCAGATGGTCTCACTCATAGCAGGAATTTAGAAAACCTAAATAAGGGACTAGGAAAAAGACTAATTATAATAAAGTAAAAATCAAAATCAACAAGCAACTATAAACCAGAGACACACTACAGGGGGGGAGGAGGGAGTAGGATCAAAACAAGAGTGGTGGGAATTGTATGGGGACTATAACCAAGATGAAAATGCATACATTGTGCAAAAATGAAAAATGATGTAAAAAATATATAAAATAAAAAAATAAAGAGTTTTGAAAAAAATAAATTCAATCAAATTAAAGATGTAGTTCAGCCAAAGGTCAGCCACACCTTCAGAAACAATGTGAATAACCAGTCCCTCACTTTAAACCATCAGACAGAGGAGAGTGCTTGGAAATAAACAGAATAAAACTAAAGAAACAAACAATATCTAGATATAGACACACACTTCATCTTCCACTGTTCTTTATACACTATATATAAACTACATTGAAAAATTACTATCCATGTGATGCAGGAAAATGTAACCTATAACCAAGGAAATAAAAATCAATAGAAGCAGACCCACAAGTGACCAAGTCACTGGAATTAGCAGCCAGAAAATGAAAGCAACAACTAAAATATAAGTTCAAGAATTTATAAGAAGTAATGGATAAGATGGATGAAAACATATGTAGAAATACTTAAAAAGAATTAAATGAACATCTACAAATGAAAAATATAGAATCTGAAAATTCATTGCCTGGAATTAACAGCAGATTGGACCCTGAAAAAGACAAGATCAGTGAAACTTAAGGTAGGGCAATAAACACTATTGAATTAAAGTACCAGGAAAAAAAATATGCAAAAAAATCTGGGAGAATATCAAGTGACCTAATGTAAAAGTAATCAGAATCTCAAAAAAGATTCTCTCAGAAGAAAGAATGGGTAGAAAAAATATTTGAAAAATTAAAGGTAGTAAATGTTTAAATTTGATGAAAAACAAAATGAACGCACAGATCCAAGAAGCTCAGCAAATCCCTCAAAATACAAATTTAAAAGAAAAACACACCTACACAAATTATAGGAAAACTGCTGAAGAGCAAAGATAAAAGGGAAGACAGCAAAAGGAGCCAAAGGAGGAACAAAAAAAAAAAAAAAATACCCAGAAAGACACATCACGTAGGTAAAGAATAATAGCTGATTTCTCATCAAAAACAATAAAAGGTAATGGACCATCTTTATTTTTTTTTAAAGATTTATTTATTCATGTATACAAGAGCTGGAGCACAGGCCAGATGTGCAGGAGGGTGAGAGGATTCACCAGAGACAAAGCAGAGAACAGAACAGGCAGACTGACAAAATACACTGCTGAGGGGAGCAGCGGGCAAGACAGGAGAGGTCTGCCTTGCCATGTGGGTATCTCTCCAGCCAGCCGGGATCGAACCTGCGCTGCAGGGCCTGCATACAGCTTCACAGTGCTGCACTCAACTGCCTGTACCACCAGGGAGGCCCAATGGACCACTGTTAAAGTGATTAAAAGAAAAAAAGGCAACCTAAGAGTCTATATTTTATAAAAGATCCTAAACAGGAATACAATAAAAAGACATTTTTAGATCAACAAAAGCTGTGAGAATTTGTCATCAGAACACATACACTATCAAAAAAGTTAAATGGCCAAAGGGAAATGATACCAGATAGAAATGTAGAACTAAAGGAGAGAATTAAAGTGCCTAAATTGGAAAATATGAGTAAATATGAAAAACTCATTTTTAATGAGACAATTTACTATTAAAAGCAAAAATAGGGCCTCCCTGGTGGTGCAACAGGTTAAGACACAGCACAATGAAGCAATCCGCAGCCACTGCAGCACGAGTTTGAGCCCCAGCCAGGGAGGTGACCCACATGGTGCAGCAGACCTCTCCTGACTTGCCTACTGCTCCCCTCAGCAGTGTATTTCAGTAAATCTGCCTGTTCTGCTCCCCACTCTGTGTCTGGTGAATCCTCTCAACTCTGGCCTATACCCCAGTTCTTGTATGCATAAATAAATAAATATTGAAAAGAAAAAAAATCATAAAAAAATAAAAGCAAAAATAAAAGTGGTGCATTATGGGGTTTATAGTATGTAAAGTGAAATGTATGATGACAATACAAAAAAGCAAAGGTTCTCATACCAATTCAAAGCAACTGTGATTATGTCAAAACTGCATATTGTAGGGCCTCCCCTGGAGGCGCAGATGGTTAAGCGCTGTGCTGTGAAGCTGTCCATAGCCTCGGCGCCAGTTTGATCCCACCTGCCCGGGGAGGGTCCCACATGGCGCTGCAGACCTCTCATGCCTCACCCGCTGCTCCCCTCAGCAGTTTATTTCGTCCATCTGCCTGTACTGTTCCCCACTCTGTCTCTGGTGACCCTCCCTCGCATCTGTCCTGTACCTCAGTTCTTGTATAAATAAAAAAATAAAATCTTTTTTAAAAATGCATATTGTATAGACAGGAGCAACCACTAAAATCAAAGAAGTACATTACTAAGAATGTCTGAACTCTCGTCTCAATTACAAACTTTCTTTTTGAGTTAAAAATACTCCAAAAACTGGGGCCTCCCTGGTGGTGTAAGGGGTTAAGACACAACCTATGAAGCTTGATGCAGCCACTGCAGCATGAGTTCAATCCCCGGCCAGGGAGTTACCCACATGGTGCAGCAGACCTCTCCTGTCTTGCCCACTGCTCCCCTGAGCAGTATATTTCAGCCAGTCCGCCTGTTCTATTCCCCACTCTGGTGAATCCTCTCACCTCCCACAACTCTGGCCTATACCCCAGTTCTTGTATGTATAAATAAATAAATCTTTTTAAAAAATACTCCAAAAACTCAGGTAAGGCTTATCTTAGATCCCAAGAGGTATCTGTTGGTTTTTAGGGGTTAGAATTATATCACTTACTTTGCTTTTTCTATAGAAATTAGCACAATGTTAGATCCAGAGGCTGGTTGAAAACAAGAGTGATGTGGAGACTGGTCATAATGAGCAGGGTAATTATCACCACTTACAGCCTAGTTTTTTGTAGTACATCAACCTGTCCTCAGCTCCCTAGGTTGAATTTGTTAGTCTCAACATCCACCCTCCCCTAAAAGGGCAAGCTGTAGCCTTAAAAACCAAGGAGTATGCCAAGAAGATAAGAGGAAATTTCAACCCACCTCAGGTTCTGCTATTAGAGGTCCAGGAATTACTTCACCCTCTAAACTTTCTCCTTGGGCCTCATCAGCATCCTTAGATAGCAGAGCTGGAGAAGGAAGAGTCATGAGATTTGCATTTCCCCAAGTCCCCAATAGGAAAACAGCCTGCTCCTCTCTCTTAACATTCACCTCGAGAGGCATTTAGAGGGACGCAAGAGTCTGAAGCTCTTGAAGAGCGACAGTGCACTGTCTGGGTGTTACCATTTCCCAAGGGTCACTGCTGGTCCAAAAGCATAGCTATACCAGATCACTCCTTTGTTCAAAGGTTCCAGAAAAAAAAGAGAATCTCAACACTTGCCATAGACTTCAAGGCATCTACAATCCACCTGCAGTATAGTTCCCATCACTAGTGTCCTCTAACCAGCATCCTTTGTATGTGGGACACCTGCCCCCACCACATTCTTCAGTTAGATTAGAAAAACCCACATTCTTTGGACCACTCTTCAATGTATCCCAGGTAAAGAACATTACTACAGCATTTTTTTAGGTTGCCTTCTACTATTTTGATCTGGGTTATAGCCAGCTGTCTTTCCTGACCTGACCACTACAAAGTGTGTTATCTTCGACTTGTTTCCCACTGAACTGCCATATTTCAAGGTAAAATGAGAGTCATCAAGCATGTCAGTCCTTCCTCTCAGCAGAAGATGAAAAGAATGAACTACTACTTGTGAGAAATATTGGTTTGGAGCTAAAATGACTGAAACTTGTGAAGGGAAACCATTGGAGGGCTTAAGGAGACAGAAATCGCTGACGCCCCGTCTGTGAACTGCACTCACATCCTCAGGAGCGGCTGGTGGAGACACCCTGAATCCTGTCTTCCTGCCCTGTTTTATCAGAGGACCAGAGGGGGAACAGTACTCAGCACATGCAGCCAGGAGCCCAGGCCAAGAGCCCAACATTTTCTCTCTCAGCTTTCCCTTCCAAAGGCACAAGCATGGGTCCCAAAACCCTGCTTTCCCCCACCTTTCTCCCTAAAGAACACACACAAAAGAGACCTTCTTTTCCCCCACCCCTCACCTGATATCAGTCTGTTCTCACCTTTTCCTTCAAACATCTTAGTCACATCCTCCCACAGAGGGGCCCCCTCCTCGGCCTTGTTTGGATGGTGCAACTTCACCCAGGTGCTGGCCTCAGCGGGCAGGGTGATGAGGAGCTGTTGCAGCATGATGCCCGCCTGGCTGGGCTGGTCCACTTCTAGCGAGGCAATGGCCAGCACCTCGATGAGAGTCTTCACTGTTGTATGGAACTCCTCTGTCCATAGACCTAGGCCCGCAGGACTCTGGGGCGCTGTTGAGGCACCAGAAGCAGGGGGCTCCTAGAGGATGGTGTGACTTTAACCACTCTGAAAAACTGGCTCCCCTCTTAAAAGAAGAGCTGCCTCCTTGGAAGATGGTCCTTGAGTAGTATGGAGGACACGCCTCTATGTCCTAGAAGAGCAGAAGGCAGGAGAGGAGGGAACCAGACGCACCGCCATACCATCAGAACTCCAGAACTTGCAGAAATAGATTTAAAACTGCGAAAGATCCAGAAACAAAGATTTGACATCAGTGTGAGCATAAGTATAATCAATGCTCTTGAAAGTGGCTCATTTTCCCAGTTCCACATGTGCAAACAGCCAAAGGCACACACTCACAAGGACACACATGCACAGATGTTGCCTTGATGCCCACCTTGCAGGCTGCATGCAACATCTGTCAGCCAGCCGCATTAGAGTCCTGACAGTTGCACTTCAAATGTCTAAGGCATGTCAGTTCGCTGAGCTTCAGTTTCTTCGTCTATTAAATGGGGATAATAATTGTACTTCATAGGGTTGTAGTGTTGGTTAAGACAGTGATGGGCATGAAATGAACTCTTAGAGTAAATACTCTTTTAATCTCGTGCTGCATCATAATCTTTTAAAATTATTGTAAAAGCAATTGGAGATTTGCATTTCCCCAAATCCCCAATAGGAAAACAGCCTGCTCCTCTCTCAAAACATTCACCTCGAGAGGCATTTAGAAGGACGCAAGAGTCTGAAGCTCTTGAAGAGCCACAGTGCTCTTCACATAGATGTGTTTTCACACAGGCAAGTGAGAGACAGTCACCCACGTGGATGCCCAGCAGCTAGCAAGTTCTTTTAATCTCTTTTAGGATGCTTTCTGGCTTCAGAAATGTTAAAGTGGGGGGAAATATGGTCCTTTGAATACAAAGAGGACTACTGCAGAGCTGTTTTGTAACAGGCAAATTTGGAAACAATTCAAATCCATTCTCTCATCCAATCCCCTTGCATCTGAGCTGGTGCCCTCCACTGCCACCAGGTCAGTGTATCCGGACCCCCAAAACAGTCCTAGCTTCTGGAAGGGAGTCAGTCACCATTAAGTTTGTGGGTGAGGGTAAGTGGCTTAGAGGCTTCTCCTCTGCCCCTCCCTCCCCCCAACTCTGACAATTCCAGGGAAAGGAACTGCATCCAGTGGCTTGCAGCATGTGGAAAACAGTCTGGCCCTGAACATACAAAAAGTAAAAGTCTTGTTACCGAAGTGGAGAAACTTTCGAATCTGACATAGGAAACATTGAATGAATGACCGAGAAGCTTTAAGTCCACGATGCCCCTTCTCACAGCTCCCTGACATGCCTCCCTCGGCCTCAGCGACTAGACACAGGCAGACTCGCCTCCTACTCACCAGCTCGGCCTTGGACGAAGGTGAGCCCAGAGATGGGGGCGTGAGCGCGCTTGCTTGAGGCTTGCAGCTCCAGAGGGTGTCCCTTTGGAGAAGGACTGGGTGCTAATAGATTTTGTTCTCTCCCAGCCTTTTACAGGCAGACCACGTCCCGGTCACTCAACACAAAGCATCCTCCTAAAACGCCTCCCCAGCGTCTCCGCAGCCCAGAGGACCCCCAGCCTCCCAACCGGGTCTTTTCCAACAGCCAGCGAGAGGGGCCTAGGGTGGGGGCTGCTGCCACCATCAACCCGCCCAGCCCATGACCGCGGCCTTTCCAGACGCACCCAAGGGAGCGGGGCTTTGGAGGCCGCAACGGCCCCCCGAAGAGTGCCCTGAACCGGCTGCCCGCAGACCCGGGCGAGGAGGCTGCACCTCGCTGGCGGCGGCCGGCCACAGCCCCGGGCGGAGGGAGCGGCCAAGCCCACCCCGCGCCGCGCCTCCTGGGCCGCAGCCCCGCGCCCCCCCGCGCCCCTGCCCTGCGGACGCGCCCTGGCAGAGCCCGCGCGCCGACTGCCCCGGCACCCCCGGGTGCGGTCCACCCCCGCGGCCCGGCGGCTCCCGGGCCCGGACGTCTTCCCGCCGGCTCCTCACACCCGCGGCCGGCTCCGCCCACGGGGGGCGGTCGGGGGGCCTGTCCTCTCGGGGGAAGCCGGGTGCTCCCGAAAACCCGGAGCCCGGAAGCCGCGGACCTTCTCCCCTTCCGCGTCCATCCCCCCAACCCCCACCAGACCCGCAGGACGCGGCCACCCGCGCACCCCCCGCGCGGCCCGGGGAGCGCCGGCCCTTCCAGGGGGGACGCCTTTCCTGCTGTGCGTTCCCTCACCTCACCTGCCTCCCCTGGGCCTGCCTCTGCGCCCGCTGCTCCAGGCTGGGGAAGCAGCAGTTGTCAAAGCGCAGTTCTGCTTTTTAATTTCGGTGAAATTAAATGGACAAGGATAAGTAGGAAAATAAATAGGTTACACCTCAGGTGATGGTCGTGGCTCTGAGGAGAAAGGAAGCAGCCTGTGAAGGTGGGGAGAGAGGCTGACCAGTTCCCCTTTCTCATAATAGTGAACTAGGATATTTATTTTAGCCCCTTGGAAGACAACAATAAAACTTTAAAATTTGAAGTCATTATTTTCAATGTTCTCAAAGGAGCAACTAGCTTGCTAGGGCTGTCATTACGAAATACCATGAACGGGGTGACTTAGAAATTTATCCTATCCCAGTTGTGAAGGCTGAAAATCCAGGCACCAGGTCTCAGGAGGGTTTGTCCTGAGGTCTTTCTCCTTGACTGGCAAGTGGCTGCCTTCTCTCTAAGGCTTAGTCTTTTCTCTGTGTATTTGCATGCTCCTGGTGTCTGTGTGTTCAAATTTCCTCTTCATCTGTCAAATTGGAATAGGGCATACTCTAATGCCTGCTTTTAACTTCGTCACATCTTAAAAGTGATTAGACTTACTTCAAGATGTGATTAAATACAGTCACATACTGAGATACTGGGGGGTCTAGGGTTTGACATATATTTGCAGGGAGGCAGGTGTGTGTGGGGAGGCGGGAGAGGGGTAGGGAGTTGCAATTCAGCCTGTAACAAGGTGTCTAAGATAAGATAGTAGGAAATTACCATACCAAAAGTAGGGAAGTAATTGTTCAGGAAGGTAGTTCAACTTGGAAGATGCTTCTGCCCATTTGCCAGTTACCTAGCTTGAAACAATCTTCCTTTTAAACCTCAAAGAAGAAAAAAATGAATAAAACACTATGTTAAGGAGTGAAATAGAAGGCCTCCAAACAAAAACTGGTACCCAAAGGACTACACTCCCAAGATGAAATGGAGAGCTTTAGAAGAATTTAAAGACTGTGGTCAAATTGCCTATCTCAAGTCTTGATCTTGGTTTAAGCTGGTCTCTGTTCTGCCACCAGATGCCTGGCAAAAGCAAATACAAATCCTCTCTGGATTAAAGCAGCATAATTGTAGGCCTTAAAATGTTCCTATACTTAAGTTTTCATAGAAATATTAAGTACAGAATTAAAGGCAACCAGATACACAAGGAAACCAGATCTTTTAGTGAGTGTTTCACCAGAAATACAAACAGAAATAGACCTGAAAGACCATTGCTGTGGAATTAATCAGATGCAAATGATAAGATAATTTGTTTTCTTTGTTCAAAGAAGTAAAAGGTAACAGTTTGGGCAGGTACCTGGAAACTATAAAAAGTGATAGAATAAATATTTTTTAAAGAACTAATAGAAATTCTGACTGAGAAATACAGTAACAAAATTAAGAATTCAGTCCGTGCAATAACAGCAGATTAAACACAGATGAATAGAACTCAGCATTCAAAAAAGATAAACACATGCAATTTGCAGCAACATGGATGGCGCTGGAAGGGATCATGCTCAGCGAAATAAGCCAGAAAGAAAAAGAAAAATACCGGATGGTCTCACTCATAGCAGGAATCTAGAAAACTTAAATAAGGGACCAGGAAAAATAATAACTATAAGAAAGAAAATATCAAAATCAACAAATAACTATGAACAAGAGACTCTCTATGGGGGTGGGGGGCGGGGAAAGGACGGCTTGGGGTAAAAATAAGGGGGTTGTAATTGTATGGGGAATATAAAAATAAAATTTATTTTAAAAAAAAGATGTCATGGCTAAAAAAAAATAAAAAAATAAATTTACCACAGCAGCATAAAAAAAAAAAAAAACCACAGATGAATAGAGAATAAATGAAATGGAAGGTAAGATGATCTAAAATAAAGAAACAAAAAGACAAAATATATAAGAGGAAAAGAGACATAGATGATACAGAGAGAAGATATAACATAAGTTTAAGAGGAGAGAAACATACAGTATTTGAAGAGAAAATGGCTGAATATTTTTTCAGTGCCTATGAAGGAACCAGATCACAGATATAAGAAGCCAATAGCTCTCTAAAGGGGTAAATAAAAAGAAATTTACACCTAGACACATCATAGTGCAAATGAAAAAATCTTAAAAGTGACTGTGGTGGTTTTAAAACATGCCTATTCCTCCCTCCAATAGGCAGAGACTTAATCCTCTCCTTTTGGAGGTGAGGCAAACTCACTTCTGCAGAATGTGGTAGGAGTGTGTGATTTCAGGAGTTAAGTCATAAAAGACACAGCCATTTCTGCTTTGCACACTCTTGACTGCCTGCTCTGAGGAAAACCAGCAGAATAACCAGCGCTGACTTGCCATTGTGTCTTCTAACCCCAGTCAAGCCTTTGGATGACTACAGTTTTGGCTTGTGTCTTAAATGCACCCTCAAATGGACTGCATCCCAAGCCAGCACTTTCATCTAAGCAGTTTCTGAATTATTGTCCCAAGAAAAATGTGAGATTGAAAAAATGTCTTTCTTAAGTCATGACAGTTTGAATTTATCATGTGACAATCACTAATGACAACTCACTTGTCATCAACAATAATGGCAGTCAGAAGATAGTGGAGTGAAATCTTCAATGCAGTGTGAAGAAATAATTGAGAACCTAGAATTCAATGCAAATTTTTAAAAATCCTTTAAGAATAACAGCAAAATAAAGATATTTTCAGGCAAACAAAAAAATGAGTTTACCACAACCTGACAACATATGAGGAAATTCTGAAGACTGAAACTCAGGTAGAAAGAAAATGATTTCATAAAAAAAGAACAATGATGCCAAAAAGGAAAGACCAACACAGAAAATATGTGACTAAATCTAAATAGTCATTCACACTATAGATTAAAATTTTTAATAATTAATGAAGTTATTTCCTACCCTTCATTTTCTTTTCTTTCTGGAGATTGGAAGCTCAGTCTACATGGGCCTGACATTTGGGCCACTGACCTTGATTTTCGCTGACAAATGTGCCCTCTTATTGGGCCATCCATTTTCTCCTCAGGTAACTCCTCCAAACTCCTTATGGGGTTGGAGGTCACATCTGTTGAGGGGGTAGAACCTGGATTTCACTGGCAAAGTGGTCTGAGGGTCCCATAGGTCAGTATCAATCTTGCATGAGTTTCCATTTTACCTTCACTTCTTACCCCGAGTCTCTGCTGTTTGTGGTTTTGACCCCAGAGCAACTCTGACCCTTCCCAGATAATAGACCTATAGTCTCCTTTGGGGTGAGGGAAGGTGGTGATGGGACAGAGAAAGGCATGAGAGGGAGGAATGTGTGGAGTAGGTGTGAGGACCTTAGGATCTAACTACAGAATTTCAGCCAATCTGAGTTTTCAGTCCCGGATCTTCCTGATGCCCAGATGTCCCCAAAGCATCAACCTTCCCAGGACCTTCTCTACTTTTCTGTAGTCTCTGCTAAATTATTAGCCACTTTATTTTTTTCACGCCTAAAATGTGTTGACGTTTCCAATGTGCTGCCATATTCTGCTCTTGCTCCACTTGCTGCTGTATGGTGTTTTGTTCTCCCTAATTTTAAAAATAAATTTGCCTCTCATAAAACAAAGATAAAATTGTTAATCAGCCACATTGAACTTTACTTGTAGCAAATTAATTTAAAATTAGGTCTTCTATCTTAAAAGTATGTCTGTTATGATTCACAGTTCCTAAATGCCTATGCAGTCTCATCTATTTCCAAAGATTAAAAAAAGCAGATAAACAAAAAAAAGATTTTCCCATTTATGAAATATAGGAAGGAAAGTGTAGGGATTGCCTTTCTCTATTTTCATCATAGGTACATAATTCAATTCAGTTGAAATAAAAACAATTCAACAAATATTTATCGAAGCCCCACTGTGTGCCAGGCACTGTTCTAGGCACTTGTGATACATCAGTGAACAAAATGACCCATGCCTTCATGGAGCTTACATGCTGGTGGGGGAAACAATAACAATAAGCATAATAGATATGTAAAGTATCTACTAGGTTAGGTGATATATGGAAAAAGTAGAGCAAATTAAGGGAGCTTAATCATAGGTAAAGGGCAGGTTATAGGATTAACTAGCACTGTTCGCAGGCTTCAGTGGAAAAGCAAAGTGAACAAAGATCAGAAGGTAAGGGTGTAGGAAATCTGAAGGAACCGCTAGTGCAAAGACCCCATGGCAGGAATAAGACAGGGGTTCAGGAGGGAAGCGGGGCTAGAGACACAAATTTGGCAGTTAGGTACAGACAGTATTTTTAAGCCACAGACCATGTAGGATCACTAAGGCTGGGGTTGTATATAAAAAGTGATAGTTATGCCTTTTGCTGTAAGAATCAATTAGACATGGTTTCACTTACCTGGGAAATATAAAAAAACCAAACCAACGGTCAGGGAAAAAGACAAAACTTGCAAGCTGACCATAGATCTGAGGCATACAGCAAGGGACAGGGAGGGAGAGGAGTCAAAACAGGGGAGAGGAGAACATAAGGACTGTGATGATGGATCACAGGGGCTAAGGTGGTGGGAGAACTACAGGGGTTACACCTGAGGGGAAAAATCAAGTATTGTCTAAAAATTAACCAAAGATGTAAGAAAATAATCAAGTAAAAAAAAAAATCAGAGAAACCCAAGTTCATGGGAAATCTAAGGCATAGAACATATTTAAGGTACAGTGTATATATCCCTGGTCTTTCTGCCCATCAAAGTTATACAAGAACTTAAGAGTGTGAAACCAGTTTTGTTTTGTTAAAGAAAGGGGAAAAGTCCAGATGATAACGATACACACACACTCACACTCAGACACAGACACACGCACACACACACATAAGTGGATTTACAGCATATAAATGGATTTACACACATATAAATGGATTTAAATCCATATAAATGGATTTACTTTTGGTAGTTTGCACAATGATCAGACAATTTAAATTTTCTGCACATGAGAGTAAGCAGTTGACCTTGACCTATGTCCAGCTTTGCCTGGAAGGATGGAGTACCTCTAAAGTACAGTGAAGTGCTAAGGTCAATTCTGACACTTCCTCTCATATTTCCCTGCCTCAATATGGCCTCTGTAGTTACCTTCTACTTGGTCCTCTTTGGTGGGGCTCTACATGTATTGTTCTGGGGTTATCTCAAAGAGCCTTCCACTCAACATAAAGCACATTTTCTAACCTACAACTGCATGCTTGGCAAACGGAAATTTAAAAACAATCAAAATGATAGCCACCAATATTTATTAAGAAATTATGGACTAATTTTTAGGTATAATATTAGCATTGAGGGTATGTTTTAAAAGTGCTGACCTTTTAGAGCTATATCCCAGAGTATTTATAAACAAAAAAAGCATTAGGGACTGAAGTTTGTATAAATATCTCCACAAAAAATTCCTAGGTTTCCAGAACAGCATATACATGTGCTTTTTTTTTTTTTAATTCTTGCAACAAAATACCAAAAGAATTGATAAGGAATTACAGACAGACTTGACTTATAAATACAAACATACCAGTAACAAGAAATGATACTCTATTGCCATTACTAATCATTTTACATACTGTGTAGCAGGAGTGGCAAACTATAGCCCTGAGGTTAAATGTAATTAACATCTGCTTTTAAATGACTTTTATAGGAACACAGCTACATCCATTTATTTATATCAGTGGTTCTCAACTAGACAAAATGTTGCTGTCTAGGGGATATCTGAACATGTCTAGAGACAGTTCTGGCTGTCACAATGATTGGGGTTAATACTGATGTTCTGTTGCAAGGGATGCTCGTAAACATCGTACTATGCACAAAACAGCTGCTCATTACTGAGTATCAGGCCAAATATCAGCAGTACCAAGGCTGAGAGACCCTAGTTTATGTATTGTCTGGACTTCTTTGCACTAAAATGGCAGAGTTGAGTGGTTCTGACAGAAAACATATTATAGACAACACCTAATATATTTACTATCTGGCCCTTTACAGAAGAAGTTTGCTAATTCTTCTCTACAGGAAGCCATAAAAATAAATGTTATATATAATAAACAATTTTTGAAAACTCCCTTTAACATGTCTCCTAGAAATGAGTCAATGGATATTTTATTTATACCTCTCCTAGCAATATAAAGGGCTATAGCAAAAGATTACATTTTATTCTGATTCATTGAAGGGGAATTTAAAACAGTGATTCTCAAAAATGAATCCATAGATCACTGACCTGTCATGACGAAGTTTTCACTGGCCCTTAGTGAAATGAGAAAAATAAAGGCAAATTTAGGAGATTTTCAAAGAGCTGACTTAATTCAAAGTAAAGAGCTATCTTTTGATTATATCCCTTCTCTATTTTTAAGTATCAAAATATCCTTTCTTTTAAAATATGGTAAAATTAGGGCCTCCCTGGTGGTGCAGTGGGTTGAGTGCAGTGCTATGAAGCTGTCCACAGCCTCTGCAGTGCAGGTTCAATTCCCGGCCAGCCAGGGAGAGTCCCACATGGCGGGGCAAACCCCTCCTGTACCCTGGCCTGTACCCCAGCTCTTGTATGCATAAATAAATAAATCTTTTAAAAAATAAAATAAAATATGGTAAAATTAATAGTTTTAACATTTGGTCAAGCCATTAAAAATTATTGACTCTTGAAATCTAAGTCAAAATATCACAGATTAAGAGGCTTTTGCTTAAATATGGGGATTCTTTGCTGTTGAACACAGTTTATGTGTCATTGCTGAAGGTATTTCTTAAATGTGTTTTGCAATGTCTAATAAGTGATGAACTACAGCTGAAGGCTTTTCCACATTCATTACAATCATAAGGTTTTTCTCCAGTATGAATTCTCTGATGTTTAGCAAAGGATGAATCATGTCTAAAGGCTTTCCCACAATGACTGCATTCATAAGGTTTTACTCCAGTGTGGACTCTCTGATGGATAGAAAGATGTATTCTCTGGCTAAAGGCTTTCCCACATTCCTTACATTTATAAGGTCTTTCCCCAGTATGAATTCTCTGGTGTTGAGTTAGGTATGTGCTATGGCTGAAGGTTTTACTGCACACATTACAAATATAGGGTTTCAAACCAGAATGAATGATCTCATGTTGCCTAAGGTGTCTAATCTGGAAAAATGCTTTCCCACAGTCTTTGCACGTAAAAGGTTTCTCTCTAACATGAGTTCTCAAATGCTGGATCAACCCAATGCTCTGGCTGAATGCCTTCTCACATACACCACATTCATAGGGCTTCTCCCCAGTATGAATTCTAACATGCTGAGTTAGAGATGATGGATGTCTGAAGGCTTTCCCACATTCCTTACATTCATAGGGTTTCTCACCAGTATGGATTCTCTGATGTGGAATAAGTGATGAACTTTGGCTAAAGGCTTTTCCACATTCTTTACATCTGAAAGGTTTCTCTCCAGTATGAATTCTCATATGTTCTGTAAGGTGAATGAGTTGTTTGAATATTTTTTCACAAATACTACATTCAAAGGTTTTCATTCTTCTGTAACTCCTTGAATGATTAATCAAATCTAGGTTGTATCTACCTCTCTTTCCATGTATGTCATATTTATGGTCTCTTTTTCTTGAAGAACCTACTGGTCCTGGAATAACTTTTGAGCTCACATTAATACTTTTCTCAAATCTGTTAGATTCTCGGCCACTTTCCTGAGTGAGCATTTTCTGGCCAATCAAGGGGACGTGCTCTTCACCCATGTCTTGGTTTTCCTGGTGGTTTTCTAAGTTGTCATGTTTGGTAATTCTTCCCAATGTGGAATACAAGGTGCTTCCTCTTGTGGACCTTTCCATTATCAGGCCATGATGTAATTCATCCCAAGAAATGTCATTCTTTAAGGTTGATTCTTTGGTTTCTATTTTGTCTCCCACTTCTGAAAAAAAAAAAGTATATATAAATAACCCATATTCACTCTACTTTAAAAAATAAATGGCCACAGTATGAACAGAAGGGGGAAAACAACATATACCAGGTATAGTATATGTTGGAGTGTCTTCAAAGGTGATCTTGAGACTTAGCTGATATAAAAGGAAATGAAGAAATGCTCAAAAGAAAGAAGCTGTTAAAAGTATGTGAAGTGACTAAGAAATTGGGAGAAGCTCATCTAAGTAAATTTCAAGAGTAAATAGTCTATGAAGTGAGCATGGATTGTAAAGGCAAATATCAAGCTGTAACATTAAGACAAGATTCTAACACGGTATCATCTCAAGCCCCTATTTCTATTACAAAACTTTAAAATGTTTGAAATATTTATCTCAAATACTTTTTAAACATTAAAATAAAACATTAAATTAGCATGAATTCACTAAAAAGAGACAGCCTCTCTTCATCTCATCCATATTCTCTCTAGCACCAATATTTTAGAAGGCATCCATTCAGATATTTCCTGTCTGTCTACCTATCTGCATTTATATAATGACAAACATCTATACCTAAAAAAGGGATCATAGTGTGTATATATGTAGTTCTGCATCTATTGTGTTAACTTCACAGTATCTTTTGGGTCCCCTTCTCTGTCTATACATTTAGATTTATCTCATTCTTTAACAACTGCATTAGATTCCATTTTATGGATATTTAATTATTTGAATTTTCCCTGATGAAAAACAGATAGATTTTTCACCTTATCATTATACATCACTTTAGTACACACCTATCGGTACTTCAGAGGATTTACTAAAGAGGAATATTGGGTTATGGGTATGTGTGCTTTCGTGAATGTGGGTTTCCCTGTAAACTCCTCGGATTTTTATCATTCTTTATAATTTTTCCCTCTAAATGAGGTAGAAAATGGTTTCCTAATTTGTGACAAACAGTAACTATACTGTAAAGTCTTAAAGGATAGAGGCTATGTAAATTATTTATTGTATATATGGCATATTTTTGGATGAGAGATTTTTCCTTATTTTCATTTTTTCTATTCCTATCCATCCATTCTGGACTCCCCCATCCTAAAGTACCAATCTTTCCCATTACAGTGAAATCTTATTCCCTAGGATTTCTTTTTATTTAAAGATTTATTTATTTATGCATACAAGAGCTGGGGTATAGGCCAGAGATGCGGGGGGTGAGAGGATTCACCAGAGACAGAGCGGGGAACAGAACAGGCAGACTGACTGAAACACACTGCTGAGGGGAGCAGCGGGCGAGACAGGAGAGGTCTGCTGCGCCATGTGGGTTGCTTCCTGGCCGGCAGGGGATCGAACTCTTGCTACAGAGGCTGCGGATTGCTTCACAGTGTGGTGCTTAACCCCTTGAGCCATCAGGGAGGCCCCTCCCAAGGATTTCTAACCTTACTTTAGTAATGGCACATACAAAGTGCTCAATAGTGGTTGGATAAATTTTGGACTTAACAAGAAAAAACAAGCAAAAATGTTTAGAATATGGAGTTGATTAAGTTTTCTTTTTAGGATAAGAACAAGATAAATTTCACATTTCAAGTTGCCAAATCTGTAACCTTCAAAAGTATTTAGAAAGAGAAAATAAGACATCATTAAATGCAATTGAAAATTATGGTAATAGCCATGAGATGATGGGAACTTGGCTTAGAACTGTATCAACAGAGATGAAGAGTTGAAGTGGCTCTAAAAGAAAATACCAAAAAAGAAAGTGAAAACATTGAGAATAAAAACCACAACACATTCTTGTTGATACCCTGATTTCTAGTATTAGAGAGACTAAAAGTTTTAAACAGAAAAAAATTTAGGGGAGAAAATGGTTTCTGTTTTAGGAAGTACTGGGTTTGCAGTGACAACAGCACCTCTGTATAGCAATATCTTAAATACCAGGGATATGTGAGAATAGAGTTTACACGTATGTATAACAAAGATGAAAATATGGACAATAATAGGTGTCAACTGGATAGCTGAAATTGTTGTCATGCATGTGTGGGAGTTTGTAAAGAGAACCACAGTGTAAAAAGACAGAGACCCAGGGGCCTCCCTGGTGGTGTAAGGGTTAAGTCTCAGCACTGTCACACTCACCCATCCCCGTGGCCTGAGTTCCATTCCTGGCCAGGGAGCTACCCACATGGCGCAGCAGACCTCTCCTGTCTCGCTTGCTTCTCCCCTCAGCAGTGTATTTCAGATCTGCCTGTTCTGCTCCCCTACTCTGTCTCTGGTGAATCCTCTCCCTTCTTGCCCCCCACACCACTGGCTGACATCCAGCTCTTCTACACAAAAATAAATAAAATCTTAAAAAAAAAAAAAAAAAAAGACAGAGGCCCTTCAGGGATTGTGGGAGATACTGTTGGCTATTCATTGAAATCTGTTCTACCCATTTTTGGTTGTTGTTGTTGTTTTTTTTTTTTTTTTAAAGATTTATTTATTTAGCATACAAGAACTGGGGTACAGGCCAAAGGTGTTGGGGGTGAGAGAATTTACCAGAGAGAGAGTGGGGAAGATAACAGGCAGATCTACTGAAATACACTGCTGAGGGGAGCAGCAGGTGAGTCAGGAGAGGTCTGCTGCACCATGTGTAGGTCCCTGCCCGGGGATTGAACTCGTGCTGCAGTGGCTGCAGATAGCTTCATAGGTTGCATCTTAACCCCCTGCGTCACCAGGGAGGCCTGAGAATCACCTTTTAAATCAATACCAAGTGGAAGACACTCTGTTATCATAAGAAATGTTTAGAAGAAAGTGAAAAAATTGTGAACACAGACAAATCATAATTTTGATGGCATATGAAATCTTATAACATCAAGGAGATAAATTTGCAATAAATAAACTACTTTTACACATTTACACTTTCAGTAAACAATAACATTTATGGTCATTTATGTTGAAGGTAAGCATTCAATAATACAAAATTTTATGCATACAAGTTTGTTTATTGAGTTATTTTGTAACAGAACTTTATGGGAAATAATCTCAATACTAAACTCTAAGAGATAGGTTGAATAAAATATACATGCATACAATAAAATAATAGCAACTTCAAGATTAAGGATTCTACCCATTTTTGGACACACAACAACATTATATGTTCTAATCTTCCTTCAATATGATTGAGTGAAAGAACAATGAACAAGTGAAAAGGATGGCCCATAAAAACCTCTCAAATGAATTTCTTTGTGTTCTTTTTCTACTTCTGGCTAAATTTAGATGATTGAGGCCCTAGCGAATGGAGAGTGTACCGTATGGAAGGAATCTCAGTCCCTGAGTTGCAAGATAGAAAAGAACTGTCCTTTGGACCAAACACTTCTCCCAGACCATTATATGAGCAAGAAGTTTCTATTTTGTCTGAGTCAAATTCTAGACTCTATTTGCTACAATTGTTTAGCAAGTCCTAACAAAGGTAGAAATGATATATTTGCATTAAAGAGGATATTGTTGAGAAGAATGAAAAGGAAATAGAGGAGACAAAAATTATTAGACTAGCTGGAGGGGGAAAGGGTATCAAGAAGGAGACAAAGTCTACATAAGTCAAATTTGTTGTATGCAGTAACACCGGAAGAACACAAACTCTGCCATCAGAATGATTAGAATTCAATACTGACTCTACCGACTAGTGAATACCCTGCACAAATTTCTTAACCCATGGGCTTTCTTCTGTTCATTTTTAAGATGAGGCAAATATAGCTAGAGGACTGACAGAGGCCAGCTGGGTAAATAGCTGTCATTATTACCTTTCCTAGAAATTGAAAATATGATTGTTAAAAGTCACTGGATATGGGAGCCTTCCTGGTGGCACAGGCAGTTGAGCGCAGCACTGTGAAGCTATCCACAGCCTCTGCAGCATGGGTTCCAGCCTGGCCAGCTGCAGAGATAACCACATGGCGTGGCAGACCTCTCCTGTTTTGCCCGCTACTCCCTTCATCAGTGTCTTCGGTCCATCTGCCTGTTCCCCTCTCTGTCTCTGGTGAATCCTCTCACCCTCCCGCACATCTGGCCTGTACCCCAGTTCTTGTATGTATGAATAAATCTTTTTTTTAAAAAAAAGATTTATTTATTTATTCATACAAACACTGGGTACAGTCAGAAGCGTGGGAGGGTGAGAGAATTCACCAGTCAGAGGGGGGAACAGAACAGGCAGAGTGACGAAATACACTGCTGAGGGGAGCAGCGGGCAGCAGAGAGGTCTGTCGCGCCATGTGGGACCCTTGCCGGCAGCCGGGGATTGAACCGGCGCTGCAGAGGCTGCGGGCAGCTTCCCAGCCCAGCGTTCAACTGCTGCACCACCAGGGGAGGCCCTGAATAAATAAATCTTAAAAAAAAAAAATCACAGGATATGGTAAGAAGGAATTCTGGGGCCTCCCCAGTGGTGCAGCAGGTTGAATACAGCACTGCAAAGCTGTCCGCAGCTTCTGTAGCATGGGTTCAATTCCTGGCCAGCCAGGGAGATTCCCACATGGCGCGGCAGACCTCTCCTGTCACACCCACGGCTGCCCTCAGCAGTGCTTTCGGTCATCTGCTGTTCTGCTCCCCACTCTATCCCTGGTAAATCCTCTCACCCTTCCGTGCATCTGGCCTGAACCCCAGCTCTTGTATAAATAAAAAATAAATCTTAAAAAAAATCTATTTTTAAAAAAAAAGAAGGAATTCTGTGTTGAGTTCTCAAAGATTCATAAATTATGCCCCCCCACCCAAAAAAAAAGGTTTCAATCACACTGGTTAAAAAGAGAATCAGAAGTGAAGCTAAGATCACAGAATAAGATTTAGGAAAAAAAATCTAAGTGGCATCATAAGAGAAAGTAAAATATATGATAAAAGGACACGAGAAGGGTGCTAGTTAATGAAAAGATCCATGTGTATCTGATTGTATAGTAGAAGTAAATTATGATCAGGGTAAGATCTAGAATGCTGGAGAAAGTAAGAAAACAGTGAACTCAGGTCAAGAGAAACAATGAAAGCTAACCTCCATGAGAGAGACTAACATTAGAGCAGGACGGGGTGACAGAGTGGTAATCAGGTTTCTTCTGGGTCCCATCCAGGCTTTGGCCTTCCCCACATCCTGGAGAGACTTGAAGTGGGAAACACAACAAAGACTCCCATCTCTTTTTCTCTCACCTGAACTTGGACCTCCTGAAATGGCGTTTTCAATCAGCCATGGTTCTTCTCCTTTCTCCAACTGTGAAATCACACCAGGCTTGGAAAACTGATATCCTGTGCATAGAGAACAAAAAGACTGTTTGTACTGAGAGCCAACCCAAGCACATAAAGATAGTTTATGGGTATTCAGGCCTTCTAAAGGGCACAGCAGAAAGACCAGGCCAGAAAAGACTATGGCAACCGTTACTCAGTGTTCAAAAGGTTAGAGAACCCAGAACCCAAAGCCTAAGTATAGCACTTGATTTAGAACTGACTTCCAACAGGCAATTCCAGAACTTGTCCTTACCCACTGACACCAGGTTCTGGTAGTTCTCCAGCATCACCTCCCGGTACAGATTCCGGTGGGCCGGGGCTAGCTGCCCCCACTCCTCCTGGGTGAAGTCCACAGATATGTCCTTGAAGGTCAACAATTCCTAGAACAGCAAATATGCTCCTTTCAGTGAGTGTTTGGGAAGTTGTTCTGACCTTGCCAAGTGAAAAGAGATCCCAGTCAAGTTTTCCTGAGCACCCTCTTAGAAACTGTTTGGCTGATACAAAGCAATTCAAAGAGTATATATGTTATCTTTGGCAACTGACAATTTGGCTGAAGACAAAATACTCATGAAATATTAAAGAAGGTCACAGAACAGTGTGTAGTAATTTAGATTAAGGATAATAAAGACCAGGGGTATATGAGAAAGACGAGAGTTGAAAGGGGTTAAGGCCACAAGAGAAGACAGACACCTCTTTTGTGCTGAAAGAATTAGTTAAAATGAGAACATTTCAGCATGGGCAAACTATGCTTAGCTGGGTATTTCTGCTAGTGAGAAAAGTGTGAGAGAACAGGATGTTTTTGGCAAGAGTAGGAATTCTGCCTTGTAAAGACTATCCCTTGATGGAAACAGACACCCTGTTAAGTACAAAAGCTGTTGCATATGACCTACACAAATTAAATAACCATCTGATAGTTATTTATAAAAGTATTGCCACATGCAAAGAGAAGCCAGAAGCCTAAGGTAATAAATTCCGTAAGGATGGAGACTATTTCAATGATTGTTATGTACTGGCGTAATTGTGGAGTGCGTTCCATGCCCATTAGGCTGATAATAGTATCCACATTTAACTGCTGAGAAAAATAAATTTGAGGAAGGTTTAAACACATGGGATTAAACCCTGTACCATGTGGCTTTGGAAGCTTGTTATCACACCACTTTGAAACTCTCCTGTTTTCTACCAGCTGTTTCTATATTGGTTTTCTCTGATCACTCTGTAATCTTGAGCTTCTCTATGCTTCTGGGGTTGGGGAGCACACAGCTGTACCAGTTGCCAGAGCTACTGGTTTTATGATCAGCTCATTTAAGATACACAAGTACTATGAAGCAGCTCTTAAAAGTTTTCCTTCCTTTTCTGTTCAGTCAATTTAGTTTGTGCCCCTCCTGACCAGCCAGAAGCTTCTCATTTCTTTCCAGCTACAGTTCTGCTCCAAGCATGACCAAAAACACTCTCATAAAGGTCATTAATGAAGTGTATATATTTCCAAAAATAAGAGAGTCTGGTTCTGTTCATTTTGAAATGTTGTTTAAAATGTTTTACAGATAGCAGAGATGCAGTGGAAGCCTGCTAGGCCCATAACACGTTTTACAGTGTTTGTCTTTCCCCCAGATGACACCCGTGAGTTTATGCAGAAACTGCATTACATGCTTTTTCAGCACATGCATACCCCCAGCACAATTTTTAAACTTGCTGAATAAATGGCTAGAGGATTGCTAGAAATAAGGTTATTGAGAAAGGAGACTACTGCTAGGAAAATTACCTTTGAAAACCCATCAATGAGGCCTGTTTTCAAACAGGTTAAGAAAATCCAATTCAGTTAATCATGTCACAGAAAATCATCATCCGAGTTCCTTAAAATCTAAGAAATAATTTCAAGAAAGTAACAGAAAATCCAACCCACCTGGGATTCCACTGTCAGGGATCTAGAGGCCACTTCATCCTCTAAACTTTCTCCCTGTGTCTCACGAGCATCCTGAGATAGCAGAGCTGGGGAAGAGAAAGAACTATGGGGTTTGCATCTCCTCAAAAGCCCCAAGTAGAAAAACTGCCTGCAGACCCACTGAATGCAGACTCCCTTAGAAACATTTGGGACAACTCAAGAACAGCCTCCATAGTGATGACATGCAGTGGGCTGTTTTGGGGATGAATGTTGGTCAGTGTCAGTCCAAAATCACACATCTATCGGGTTACTCCTCTGTTCAAAGAATTTTAAAGTTTTCCCACTGATAAAAAAGAAAACTCCAAGCATTTCATTGTGGATTTCAAGTTGCTTTCTCAACCACCAGCTCCTCTATAAACACATCCTTCACCTGCTAGACACATACCCACATAATCCTTAGCCACCATTCTTTGAGCATACCAGGATAGCACCTACCTTAATACTTTTCCCAAGTCCTACTTGGTGAAAAACTGAGGTACCCTTCAGGAGCAGTTCAAAAGAAGTATCCTCAGATATGAGAAGACAGCTTCCTGTCCCCTGTATACTCAAAAGCTTGGTTTTTTATATCTCCTCTAGTATCGATCTTAGTCTGTCTTCTATTATATTTATTTGTATAATTATCTCTCTCCACTGAGCATTAGTATGAGTAGAAGGGTAGAAACTATCTTGCTCATTTTTTCCAAACCTGTTAAAGTGTTAATCATAACACCCTGCCAGGTTGTTGGAATTCAAGAAACACTGGCTGAATCTGAGGTATTAAAAATATGAACTAGAATTTAAGGCACACAAATTATTATCCTTGTATTTTCCCCAACTTTTTAAAAAAGATTCATTTATGCATGCAAGAACTGGGGTACAGGCCGGAGGTGCAGGGGATAAGAGGATTCACCAGAGACAGAGTGAGAAGCAGAACAGGCAGATTGAGTGAAATACACTGCTGAGGGGAGCAGTGGGCAAGACAGGAGAGGTCTGCTGAGCCATGTGGGTCAGCTCCCTGGCCAGGGATTGAACTGGTGCTGCAATAGCTGCAGATAGCTTCTTCATAGGGCTGACGCTTAACCCCTTGTGCCACCAGGGAGACCACTTCCCCAACTTTTTATCATGAATATTGAACACCCATATATCCACCACCTGAATCCAATGATCACTAATAATTTGCCATATTTGCTTCATCTATCTATATTTTTCTGAACCACAAAGTGCAAACATCAGACTTTATCTTACTTTATAAAAAATCTTCTCTTGCATCACCACAATACCATTTATCACAACTAAGAAAGCTGATATGATTACATAGGACCATCTAAATATTCAGTCCATATTCAGATTTCCTTAACCGTTCCCAAACTGTCTTTCATTCTGGATTTTTTCTAAATCACGACCCAATCAAGGTCCACATATTCAAAATGGTTATCTCTTGTCTGTCTTACTCTAGAATAGTACTTCTCTTTTTTCATGACTTTGACTTTCTAAGTGATCAGAGCTATTGAACTATATCCTCACAGTGGAGTTTATTTCTCTGTCCCTTGTATTTTCTGTAAACTAGAAATGCAGAAATATTTGGGGCAGAAATACTTCAAGGGTGATACCATGTGCTTTATATGACATTATCCAAAAGGTACGAAATAGCAAGTTAGCCCATCCGTGGTGAAAGGTCTCCTGGGACACTTGGTTAAGGCAGTGACCACCAGATCTCACCACTGCAAAAGTCTGTTCTTACCTTGTTGGCATTTAGCAAGTAATCTGCAGGGTCAATACTTTGATGCCATGTGAATGTACAGTTCCCTATTAACCGTTCAATTATTTCATGTACAGTAAAATATTCTCACTTTTTTGTATTTTCTGTAAAGAACTTTCCTTAAACTGGAAATGATCTAAAAGGAAAGTAAATGCATCATCCATTCCCCTAATACTCAATTTTCAAAGTAAGTAATCAGTTTATTAATCACTTCCAGTGTTGGTGAGTTTTTCTCACCTACTCTTCCTATTTTAAGTTCATAATGAACTTGTGGAATTTTGTTTATTCAAGGTGTTACAATCAATGTGACACAAACTGTCCCCTATCAGTACAGGGGAAGTCCCTGGACTCTAGCGGTAGCATCCTTCTCATACATGCCACTCGTCTTTGAGTTTGGCTGTGCTTTCAAGTACAAGACGCTCCAGGCTCACCTGGGTCCTTTCCCTGCTCCCTTGTACCTCTGACTAAGACACCAAGTACCTAGGCAGGTCTCTTATTTCACTCACATTTTCTCAGAAAATAAGGCAGGTCCTCCCTGCCCCACATCCCCACAGGGAAGATGAAAAGAAATACCAGACAGCGCTAACACTGGCTTTAGGTTGAGGTGGCCACCACTAGGACTCAGGAAAAGCCCAGGCCAAGAACCATCATCAAGAATTCCAGGGACCTTTTACTTCATTGTCTCCTCAACAGCTGCCTTTCTTCTGCCAACAGAGGATGACATTTTTCCTCCCTCCCACGATGTCTATTCTCACCTTCTCTTTCAAACAACTTAGTCACATCCTCCCACAGAGGGGCCCCCTCCTTGGCCTTGTTGGGATGGTGAAACTTCACCCAGGTGCCAGCCTCGGCAGGCAGGGTGATGAGGAGCCGCTGCAGCATGATGACCTGACCACTCAGTTCTCAGGGGCTATCTGGCCTCAGCCCACAAGGCAGAGTCCTGGATGGTCTTGGCCACTTTTGACGAGGAAACTGCCAGCACCTCTGCCTGGAGGCTTTGGGGTTGTAAGGCTCTCCTCTAATTACCGACTCCTGTTACTCAGAGTCTTCCACGCTCAGGAAACCAGCGTACACTGCAGCAAGCCTGGGGCCCGAGGCCTTCTCCTGTGAGGATCTTAACACCTTCCATCTGGAGCACCTTCTGTCAGCTGGGGGGTCCAGGTGCTTAATCTCAGCAGCAACCTTGGGTCCCTGGCGATGCAGGCAGAAAACAGAGTCAACAAAAGAATCTAGAATTCTAAAACCTGAATTTTAGGGAAAAAATTTGCAAAAGATAAGATACATGGAGATTTTATATATACACAGCCTACCTGGTCCAAAATATTTTGTGCAGTGTCATGAAGCATAATTGGTGGAGTAAATCCCAAATCTTAAGAGTCTGAGATTTGGGGGCCTCCCCGGTGGCGCAGCGGTTGAGCGCTGGGTTGCGAAGCTGCCCGCAGCCTCTGCAGCGCCGGTTCGATCCCCAGCTGCCCCCCGGCCACCAGAGGAGGGTCCCACATGGCGCGCAGACCTCTCCTGCCGCCCGCTGCTCCCCTCAGCAGTGTACTTCGGACCTTCTGCCTGCTCTGCTCCCCGCTCTGGCTCTGGTGAATTCTCTCACCCTCCCGCACTTCTGACTGTACCCAGTGCTTGTATAAATAATTAAAAATAAATCTTTTTTTTAAAAAAAGAGTGAGATTTGGGATCAAAAAGGATTTTTTTTTTTTAAAGATTGATTTATACAGAACCAGGGTACAGGCCAGATGTGCAGGAGGGTGAGAGGATTCACCAGATGTGCAGGAGGGTGAGAGGATTCACCAGAGAGAGTGGGGAGCAGAACAGGCAGGCTGACGAAATGCACTGCTGAGGGGAGCCGCGGGCGAGCCAGGAGCGGTCTGCCGCGCCATGTGGGTATCTCCCCAGCCTGGCCGGGCTGGAACCTGCGCTTAAGAGTCTGCGGACAGCTTCACAGCGCTGCGCTCAACTGCCTGCGCCACCAGGAAGACCCAAAAAGGGTTTGGGTTTGAATCACTCGTCCGCTGTGGCAAATCACGACACCCTCTTTCCCCGTGCGTCCGCGCCCACGACACGGAGGGACAAACCCTCGTCCCGCGAGGCCCCGCCGGCCCTGCCCAGCCGCCTTTGTCTGGGTCCGACTCTGGGGTGCCGACCCACTGCGCCCCGGGGAGGCCGCTCGCGCGGCGCTTCCTCACGCGTCCCCCTCCCCAGACCCGAGAGCGCGCCGCTCACCCCTCTTTCCGGCCTGACAGCTTGCCTGCGCCCCGCCCCCCCGCAGCGCCCGCCCCGCGCAGCGCGGAGACGCTCCACGTCGCGCGGCCCGGGCCGGTGCGCCTGCGCGGCAGCGGGCTCGGCGCCTGGTTCCCGGCATCCTCCGGGGCAGCAGCGCCGCTCGCGGCTTCTCAGGGAGGGTCCCCCCCGCCCCCGCCCGGACCCCTGTCCGCCCGCGGGCGGCACCCCCAGACCCCCAACCAGGGTGAGGCCGCCCGGCTCTGCTGCTGCGGGAGGAAATTGAGTTGGGTCTTCAACTCCACCGCCGCTGACAACGGCGTAGAACTAGTTCTCTGCAGAGTGCGCACGTGAATGGTTCCGTGGGCTGTTTGGAACCCTCAACAAAAGAGAAACATCTTTATCACTAATTTGTTGAGACAGCGTTGTTATGAAAGAATCTATACCGCTTCTCCTTAATAATAATTAGGTGGTCAACAAGCAACTATTAAACCAGAGACACGGGGGGGGGGAGGGGGGAGAGGGGGATTAGGGTCAAAATAAGGGGGGTGGGAATTGTATGAGGACTATAACCTAGATGAAAATGCATACATTGTGCAAAAATGAAAAATGATGTAAAAAAATACGTAAAATAAAATTTAAAAAAATAATAGGTGGAAAAAGACTGGAAATGGAATGGAATCCAGTGTAGTTTTATTGTTCTGCAATTCAATGAAATTCTTATGCTAATTGCTTTCCTTATATTGCTGAAATGCCAGAAAATACACAAAAAGAAACATAACCGTCACCTCTAACCATGGGGCAGGGATGAGGGGCATTCCAGAACCCCAAACCTGCCAGCTCTAAATAGGTTCTGCGATCTGCCCCATCGAGCCAAAACATACTCTAGTGTGCAAACACTTGAATGGAAAGGAACTTTAGTACAAGTAGTGCACTAAAGGGAAAGAATAGATAAAATCGTCCAAATCAAGCACCCCATTTACCCATCTCCTCATGCGTACATGCCCAAACAGGGTTGGCCCACAGCAGGGTCACTGAGGCCTGAAAGCTTACTGTAAGTCTAAGGCACCTGCTGGTGGGGACTCATAGGAAAGGGGCAAGACAAGCCTGGAAGGAAAAGAACAAAATCAAGATAAAGTCTGCCATTGTTAACTTCCCCATATGTCTCTCACCCACGTCTGTTTCAAGAGTTTCCTTCCATGTCCTCCAAGTTTCTGGCACAAGTCCAAAACCCACAAGCAAGCACAGCTTCTTCACCTGTCCCTCTGTTCCATGTGTCTCCTCCAGGTCTCCGAGCTCTCCTTCCCTCTTCCAGCTCTGCTTCTCTCTCTTCCAGGCTCCTCTTCAGCTTATCCCTGCTGCTCAGCTCCATCCTTCCCTGGGTGGGGCAGGAAACCTAGAACCTCCCCTTTCCCTGGGGACAGCCCTTTTACATAACCTCACCAAGCAGCAATCACCTTGCTAACATTTGGTGCACAGACCTAACTACACACACACACACACACACACACACACACACACACATTTTTGTTTTCTGTGCATTTTGATGGTTTCTGCAAAAATTGTTATGCTGTGATGCTATTTTATTGTTGAGTTTTATCTCAACAGGAGTACATCATAACAATTTAGAAAATAAAATTAAACTATAGTGGTTGCTAGCTGTTATAAATTAAATGTGCCCCTCCCACACACATCCAAATTTTTATATTGAAGTATATATATATATACTACATATGCATATGTTTTAAAGATATTACCAGATTGCTTTTCAGAAAGGCTGATTGATGCACAATTCTATCAGCAATATATGAGAATATTCTTTCACTGCAGTCCCACTTGTAATAGCTTTTATAGTTTTTTTTCTTTTGCCCAATTTGGGTGTAATGTGGTATCTCATTACTTTTAATTTTCATATTTGGCTATCTTTTCATATGTTCATTGACTACTTGACTTTCTCTACTTCGAATTGTATTATATCCTTTGCCCATTTTCCCATCAAGCTATTATTTTATCTCCCCACCCCACCCCACCCCTTTCATATGGCTGAAGCTGACCTAAAATCATAGCTGAGATATCAGTGTCATAGAACCTGAGTGTGTACATTGTTGTTACTGGATGTGTTGAGTTTAATTACTATTTTAAATAGTTACAGAGTAATCTGGCATTGCATGAAAAAAATTATGTTCATAAAAAGGTACAGAAACAGCAGTATGAGATGTGATATAAATGGATGGAAATCCTAATTCACATTCATGCAGTGTATAAGGGCAAGACATTTAACTGCAGTCTCTGATCTAGAAACCAACCAAAATTATGAGAAATTTTTGTAATAAACTATTATTTCAAGAAGACATCTAATTTAATGTCTAGACTCTGTTCTTCAAAATGTGTCAAGTTACTTGGTTTTATCTACAAGATACTAGAGAAAGGGGCCCCTATCTATTCATCTCTGCCATCAGTTTTGGAAAATCCCTGCAAAAACATTTTATCAAGTCTTTCAAGTGTTTCTTCATAATCTTCAAAATAATTTCAGGGAGTAGTTCAGATGAGTTAATAGCCACATCAAACCCAACCCACCATTGCAAAGAGGTACACCCCACAATTTGAGTTCTTCAACAGTGTAATTCAATGTACTTGATCTCTCAAGTGGAAAACTGGTTTAAACCTAGCCTTGCTCTAGGACTAAATTTAGATTGCTCAAGTGATAAATTTAATTTGAGCGTGTTCCAGTTAGGCACATGCTCTCACAAAATATATGCAATCCAGAAGGATGAAATTACTTTAACGACTGGGAGAGACAAATGGGTGATTCTTCTGCAGTAAAACCAATGAGCTTCTGCACTAAACAGAAGCTACTTGAAATCAATGCCCATCTCTTCATGAAATTGAGAAAAAGAGAATTTAGTGACCTATTATATAAATGGCAATCTTAACAGTTTTGTTATGTGTTTGCCTTAAATCTTCATGCCCAGGCTCCCCGTGCAGAATCACAGGGGGAATTTCATTCAATAAAATAAATTTTATTCAAATCACCACTACTATTCACATATCCATTACAATTTTCAGTCTCATCATTTAGACATACCATTTTCACCACTGATTTATGAAAGGGTTAAGAAAAAATTAACCATCAATAATGACAGGCCCAAATCCAATTTATTTAATTCTACATATTTTCCATAACAAATGATTGTGAACTTCCAAGGGAATACTGAAAAGAATGTAGGAGGAATCTGTCAGAATCATTTTACTATCTATGATTTAAAACATTTATGAGGGAAAGTTTAGTTACCTGTGGCGGATGCTTTTGTGTCCTGGGTATTTCCTTTAGATCTTCCAGTGAGCTGCAGTGGATGCGGGTAAGAGAGTCTGCATCTCTGTGCTGGGTTACCTCAAATGCAGAGAATTGACACTGGCCCTCAACCAATGACTCTCCCCAGTTGGTATGAGAATGCTCAGCCTGCTCACTGCTATGTGGTGTGATTCTGAGGTGCTTTCTTTGTTATGCAGTTTCCCAGAGTTTCAGTGAGATTCAGCTGTCTCTTCAGGCGGTAACTAGTTTAATAGTGTGCCATTTACTGGCTTGCTTTCTCTGTCTTATTTTCCTACTCTGTACTGCTATTTCTCTGATAAACTTGCACTTCAAGCCTTGTCTGGGGATCTGCTTCTGAGAGAACCCAACTTAGACAGTCACCGAACTTGTGAACAATGATCCTGTAAGTGGAGCAGTCCTTGTCAAGGTGAGTTATCATGCCTTACCAGCCTACCCTGCCCTCATCCCAAGCGATACATCCTTGAAACCCCATATTTCATGAACCAGGTGTATTTCTTCAAATACACATGAAAAAGAAAGACTTAGGGCCTCCCCGGTGGCACAGCGGTTGAGCGCTGGGTTGCAAAGCTGCCCACAGCTCTGCTGCGCCGGTCTGATCCCCAGCTGCTCCCCGGCCACCGGAGGAGGGTCCCACATGGTGCACAGACCTCTCCTGCCGCCCGCTGCTCCCCACAGCAGCGTACTTCGGTCCTTCTGCCTGTTCTGCTCCCCACTCTGGCTCTGGTGAATTCTCTCACCCTCCCACGCTTCTGACTATACCCAGTGCTTGTATAAATAAATAAACAAATAAATCTTTAAAAAAAAAAAGAAAGAAAAAAAAAAGAAAAAAAAAGACTTAGACCATTGGTGAATACATTTACAACTTGTATACTTTCCTATATGTAGGATATACTTCAATTAAATAGTTGAAAAGATAAATACATAACAAAACTATCTTTCAAAGTCACAGTCCCTATTCAGTTTGTAAATCATTTGCCACTCCACTTAAATAATCCAGAATCTTGCTGGTGTCCTTTCTCTTCAAAGAAACCACCTTAACCAGGATGTTCTCTTCTCTTGTCCACTCTGGAACCATTCTCCAGGATCTTGGTGCTCTTTGTAGCCACTGGTTCCACTTCACCCAAATGATCATGGTAATACATGTATATTACCCTGATTTCATTCAATAAGGAAGTATCTTCTGATAGAAGCTGCAATGGGTATCACACCTAATGAAATTAATGATAATCTACTATCATTCTCCCAAACTATCTATCTTATGCACTAGCTAGATTAACAAGTTTAGTGGACATGATGAAATCATCACTGCTGCATCTGTTAAGTCACTAATGGTAAGACTAAACCCAGAGATGTAACACTGCCACTGATTTATTTACTATTTTGGAGGGACTCCAGGAGCTTCCTTTTCTCCATTTCCTTTTTTAACAGTTTTTTTTTTTTTAAAGATTATCTATTCATGCATTCAAGAGCCGGGGTACAGGCCAGAGGTGCAGGAGGGCGAGAGGATTCACCAGAAACAGAGTGGGGAACAGAACAGGCAGACTGACTGAAATACACTGCTGAGGAAAGCAGCAGGTGAAACAGGAGAAGTCTGCCACAACATGTGTGTATCTCCCTGGCCTGCCGGGATCAAAACTGCGCTGCAGAGGCTGCAGACAGCTTCACAGCGCTCTGCTCAACCACCTGAGCCACCAGGGAGGCCCATTTTAACAGTTCTTATTTCAAAGGTCAGCAAGCTGATGTGGGAATTGTATCAATTACTAAGCCCATCTTTTCCATCTAGACCCTCAACTTGAACTACTACAGGAGGGATTTAAAGTTCTCTAGGTCTGTGGTTAAGCTGACTTGGGACAAAACTCCACCTGTACTCATATGTTCCATCTCTGACAAGCTGACAATATGCACATATGGGGTATTTATAAGCTCCTTCCTCAAGCATTCCCATTACTCAAAAGTTCTAGCAAAAGAATGAAGGGCTACCTTCCTATCTTGAGATCTGTCACCAAACCTGGAGAAATTTTATCTACACAGATCAAGTAGGAGTTTAGCAAGCTGCCATTTATCTGGGATTGTATCCAAATTATTTCCAAAGACTTCTGTATCCATTCTCATTACCAATAATTGCAGGCAAACCACTGCTAAAGGTTACTCTTCAAGAATTAAGTGCCCTAATACTGTGCTAAATGCACTACTGGAATTGCTTCATTCTACTTTAAGTTTTACCATTACCTGTATTTTACACTGGGACATGGGGTTCGGTAGCTTGCTGAGATCACAAAGTGAGAAGGGATGTGCATATTGGCAGCCTGATCCAGAGTTCACTTTCTTAGACAATGTGCTATATTCTCACTTCCACCTGGAAGTATTCAAAAGGTGTACCGAAAGGAAGATAGTTGGGGGGAGGGGTGCTTCTGGTTCCAGTGTTCTGTGTCTCTAGCTGGTGCAGATCTCCATGGTTCTCTCAGCTCACAACTCTACACACCACAAGAGAAAGACCCCCTTTCTGACTGCCCAAGCCTGGGCCTGGCCCTTGGGTATGCCCACATGGACTTTTTTTTTAAATATAGAAAGTTAAAGAACTGCCCCCAGGAAAGCAGAAAATCTGGATGCAGCTCACCCTTCTTCCAAGAGTGATACCCAGTAACAGTCAAGCAAACAGTCCTTCCCTGCAATATTTATTTAGGATTTACACATACACAGGAGAAAGGCAACCAGGAACTGTGGTTCCCACAAATGAAATCTTTTAAGCAAAGTTCTCGTTTTAATTCCAAGTGGGGTTAACAACGACTGAGAGGAAAGCTGTCCAGGCTCTCTGCCTCATACACCTGGGAGAGGTGGGGAAACAGAGCAGCCTGTGATACACAGGCATGAAAGAGTGATTGGCAGACTGGGAGAAGGAGGAGGAAGGGAGCTATCAATGAGATTGCAGCTTTTTTTTTTTTCCTTTTAAACTGTAAGAACAGTTTTAGGCTGCTGATAAATTAATTCCTCTCTGTTGTAAACCTAAAACTAAAACAAAACAAAACACAACAAAAAATCCTCAGAGCAGATGGGGAGAGAGTGGGAGGTAGAATACACACACACACACACACACACACACACTCAGCACGCACATTAAACTCTGCATTCCCACTGGAGGGGCTGGTTCTCTAGCCAAGGAGCCAGATCTGACTGAAGGCAAGATGGAGGTGGGGAAGGGTGTGTGTTTTTGTGTGTAACCTTCATAAAGTCTTTGGTGCTAATAAAGGCTGGCTGAAGCATTGAGTCCTGAAGGCTCAGATCCAGAAAGCAATTCAGGACAAAGTAGAATAATATTTTTGCTCATCCTCATAGGAGGGGGCTTTCCTCATCCCAAGGCTAGGGTCAACCCGATCTAAGACCCAGGGAGTATTTAATTTGATTTCAGCACTTTCTTCATTCTCATAAATCATGGGAAGCATGATGCCTCCCCCTTTACAACCGAAACTTATACACATAGAAATCGTTTATTAACACATATAGAAGGACGTCCGAACCCTCCCCTTTGCCTAAAACACAACATCCACAGACCTTCTGGAGAGCCTGAGAGGAGGTTTAAACTTGCAGGAAAGGTACTTAAAGGTGTGCAAATTTCTCCCAGTTTAAGTGCCTTCTGCTAACAATTCTAAAGGTGCTGGTGCCAGGAGAGGACTGGGGCTGAGGCTACAGAGGAAGTCCGCATGGCTGGGGGACATATACAACATAAAGCAACAGAGAGGTTTGTGTGTTTGGGAAGTGGCTGAGCTGGGCAGAATGCCAGACTCCAAATAACAGATTGAGCAATTTCTAAACCAAACAGAGAGGTAGGACAAAGGGGTGGGGTGGGGGAAGTTGGGGAAAGAAGATAAGGGGTGAGGGTGGCAAGGAGAGTGGTAGCCATACAGGTAGCCATACAGCTTTTATTTCCACATCTGAGGGCTGAGAGTCTGATTTGCTGCCTGTCCATTTCCTCCATTCATCGACTGTCCATAGCTCAGCATGCCATTGGTTCCACAGAAGTTCATCCCAGCCATCTGCTGGGTCATCTGAAAGGGAGAGAGGAGACTTTCAGATCAGGCTGCGGGCATCCTGCCAATCAGTGCAAAAGGAAGGGTAGGAGTCCTCCTGATTGCAGAGTGGGGGAGAATGAGACAAAGGGAAACTCTGTTATGATACAAAACTGCCCTGAACTGTAACAGATCATTTCAAGGACACCAGACCACATAAATGAGGGACTTTTCAGAAGGGAGATGTTGACAGAGACTAACACTAGGGGAGGGAAAGAAGGAATCCTGGAGCTAGTCAATAAAAAAGCAGCATGAGAAGTTATTCTCTTTATCCTTTCCAGTCTTTTATCCTGAATAGAAGGGGCCTATTGTTAACTCGACACAGGCAACCCTGAGAGCATAAAGTGAAGGCCCACACCAGTGCTGCTGTCTTATCTCCAGCAGTTATTACTGTCAGTGTCAGTGAAAGTGCTTGTGCACATTCAAGCTGAGAAGAAAAAGAAACTGGACTATTCAGAATGAACAAAGGCAGGCAAAAACAAAACAATAAAAACACCAACCCTTCAGTGCATGAAAAGGGAAGCTGCTGGGAAAAAGTCAGGGACTGGGGCCTGGATGGGGTAAGGGCCACTTTATGAATTAATGGAAAGACTGGCCTTTCTGGCAGTGAACTTAAGAATCTATTTTTTTTTTTAAAAGACTTCAATTTCACAAGTCTAGTATATTTTCGATATAAGTTATTTTTCTTTTTTTTAAAAAAGGGTCTATTTTTCTTCCACCAAGTTTTAAAGAAAATTTCAAGCATACAGAAAAGAGTACAACAAAACCCATATATCCTTTTCTTAAATTCACCAATTATTAACATTTTGCCTATTTTCTCTCTGATATATAAACTTAAGAAAATATATCTATTTTAAATATATAAGATATATAGTTGTTTCAAGTTTATATATATGTAATTAAAATTTTTTATGAAATTTAAAGTTGCAGATATGATGGCATTTCACCCTTTAAGAAGGCAGGAGATTTTACATAAGAACACTAGAATTAATATTAACATAACTCAAGAAATCTAACAATGCAATATTCTAATGTATATCTATCTAATATACATTACATCTCATTTTTTCTCTTCGGTTTCCTTGAATATACAACAATTCCCCTACCATTTTTTATTTTTATTCTGGATACTGTTTTAAGAATACAGGTCAGTGGTTTGCATAAAATCCTTCAATTTTGATTTATTTCATGTTCTGTCATAATTGGATCAGGTTAAATACTTTTGGTAAAAAGTATGTCCTTCTTGGCACAAAATAACCAGGAAGCATATGACATTAATATGCCATTGTTGATAATTTTATGTTGGAGCACTTGGCTAAAGTAGTATTTAGGTTTTATTATCATAATTAATAGTAATATGAAAGGTATTTCTTTGATAATGTGTGAATATCTTGTTCTATCTATAATTTTTAGTTGTCAGTCTTCTATATAAAAGACTTTCTCACTATATTTCACATCCATTTAACAGAAAACATCACTATGGACTCATGGATTTCTTTTTCCTTCAGTGTGTTATAATTTATTAATGTCACTCTTTGATGTGCAATTGTCCCATATTTGGCCAGTGCAGCCTCCAGAAGCTGCTTCCTGTGACTTTTCAACATGTTCCCATCAGTTTTATAGTACCTCATCACTTTATAAAATAAAAACAAAAGAACAAAAATATGTGAATTAAAATCACAACTACAAAAGCTAGGAACAGAAGAACAAATCAAATCAAAAGAAAGCATGTGGAAGGAAACAGTAAAGGTTAACCAGAAATTAAAGTAGGAAACAGAATAATACAGACTGAATCAAAATCCTGGTTTTTTAAAAAATTAATAAACAGACCATAAAGTTAAGTTCATTGAAAACTGGGGGAGCAGGAAGGAAAGCACAAGCATACAAAATAAGAAATGACAAGGGAGAAATAACCAGTAAAACAAAAAACATTAATAATTCATGAGACTGCCTAAAATAACTTTTGATGTGTGAATTTGAAAACCTAAATGCCTTATTAAGGTAAATAGTTTTCCAAAACTAACTTCCATAGAAGAAACAGAAAAAGCTATCAAAGAATTGATACCCAAAAAAGCAATAGGCCCATACACTTTTTTACATGACAATTCTACTGGTTTGCTTTTCTCCTTTGGAAGTTTCCAAATATATTCCTCTTAGGCATGTTTGGCCTACCTTCTATATTAATTTCTCCAATTCTTTTTCCTGATCCCTATATTTAGTTTTCATTCTCTTGGTGGTTTCATGCCTTTCTTACTTCCCAAATACATTTTCCAACTGAGCCTACAGTACTCTGGCAAACTGAATTCAGTCATTATTTCTAAGGTAATTGTATCTTTTTCAATTTCTTTCCTAAGTTAAGTAAAACTTTCATTTTCAACTTCCAGTTTGCTGTCATTTTGGTGCTAAGTTTTTAAATTTCTGATTCAAGTTGTTTAATAGTGTTTGTTAAAGGACATTTAATTCAAGTTAGTGGATTGTGTTAGTATTCTTCTGCTTCATGACTATTTTGGGAGAAAATTTTCATTTCCTGAAATATTTGGATTTTATAGTTTCTTCTTTACAGTAATTTTCATGAACGTCATCTGTCACTCTCTGTTTATGTTTTCAGTGTCTTATTTTTCTGAATCAGCAATAATAGGGACAGGCTTGAAGGTAAGGTTTGGGGAGACTGACTTGATTTCTTATTGAAGAGCGCCCTCTTCTGTTAGAAATAATTATGGGGGAAAGGGAGGTGTATCTTTTGATTTTTGTGATTTTGTTTTCCACTTCTCACTTTCCCTTCACCACTAGGTCTCCAAAGAGCATTTCCACCTTCTAAGTCTCCCCATCTCCACTAGAAACAAGGCTTGTCTGAGGCCATTTACAATCCTACATACTTCAAGCCCCGCATTTTTTTTTAAAGATTTATTAATTTATTTTTTATATAAGATGCACGGGAGGGTGAGAGGATTCACCAAAGACAGCGGGGAACAGAACAGGCAGACTGACGAAATACACTGCTGAGGGGAGCAGCGGGCGTGACAGGAGAAGTCTGCTGTGGTATGTGGGACCCTTGCAAGCCGACCGGGATCGAACCTGCGCTGCAGAGGCTGCAGACAGCTTCACAGTACGGTGCTCAACCGCCTGCACCACCAGGGAGATCCCCAAGCCCCATATTTTTGACTCTTACTTGAGTTTCCAATTGAGGGTAGGTTTCTCTCTCTAGAGGGCAATTTTATGGTAGCTCTACACAGGGTCCCTTTCCGCTTTACACAGGGTCTCTTCTATGATGTTGTCTCTGCTGGATAAAAGTTTTATATGCCTATTGCCATTCAGTTTGAAGTTCGTAGTATTCTGCCTACTAGATGCAGTAATTGTGGGGTATGGGTGGTTTTATTTGCCTGTCTTGTTTATCTGTGTGCATTGTCATGGTTTTTGCTAAAACCATGATAAATGTGTGGAGAGATTTCAATTTTAGGTAGTTACTTCTGTTTTACAGGAAGCCAGAACTCCTTAGAAAGTCTGACATTCTAGGAAACTTAAGAATATTTCTGACATCATCTCATTTACACTGGAAGGCTTCAAAGGAAGGGTGAGATAAGGTAATACAGTCTTGAAGAAGGTCTGAGTAAGATGGGGTCACTTACCTGAGTAAGGTTCCACTGCAGCTGCTGAGCTGGCTGAACCCCATACATTGTCTGGGGCATAGCTGCCATGCCTGCCATGTAGCCAGCCTGCTGGGTGGTCATCATTCCATTTGGCACACCCATCATTGATGCCTGCATGCCACCCATATAGCCTGCAGGCATGGCCATGGGGGCAACCATCCCAGAAGCTCCTGGCTGGGCTACCATGCCCACTGGTGGGGGCATCATGCTCCCCATTATACTGTTAGGAGGTGTAACCCCAGGGAAGCTGGGGTAGGCTGTGGGATACGCCATCTGAGCGGGAGCCATGAACATTGCTGCCAAGAAAACATACATATGGGTCTGTTAAAGAGGAACACATACACGTCAGCACAAACTCTCATTGGCTACTACTTTCTAGCTAGAGTTTCTGTGAACTACTCAACTCAGAATGCTGTTTCACAAGCAAAGTAATTCGGGAGGTTCTCTGTAAGATTTGCTTATCAATGAGCCACTGACCCACTTTTCTTTTAGGATCCGGATCCAGACCTCACAGAGGTGTGACATCAGACCCCACAGAAGTATAGCTGAGTTACAGTGATTATCTGTCTGTATTATACTTTGTTGCATCACAAGAAATGCCATGTTCAGGCTGATTTGGGGCATGATGTCCAGGCCCATAAAACAACCAACCAGCCCCTTGTCACAAGTAATTCCAATATATCAGACAGAGTCCTCATGTCTCTATATGTCACACTGCCAGAAGCCCCATGAAATCTACCTTGTGCAGGCATTTGAGGTGTCTGGGATCCATACAGTGAAAGGATGGAGTCTTTAGAGAGCTGTTTCTTGCCTGTTTCTTCTGATTTGCTTCCTGGCTCTGGAAATAGGTTCAGGTTTTCAGGAACAGAGCCAGCACTCCCTGCAGTTGGCATGGAACCTACAACCTTAGGGAAAGTAAGCAGGGGGAGAAGAGAATTGGAGTGGTTCTTACAGGGGTCTCTGTAAGGACTGCTCTTCCTCCCCCATATTTCTGTTGCTTCTAACATTTGCATTTGCAATTCATTGCCCAAATGAATAGCTTTCTGACATTTTTTAAGCATACAAATACATGAAAACACCTGATAATGAAGCTCTGGCATAATTCTTTGTGGTTTAGCAAAATACTTTGTGATTTGGTTAAAAAAGACAAACAAAACAACCTACAAATGATGCACTTAGAGGACTAAGTTCAAATCCCAGCATGACCATCTATTTACTGGTTGTACAACTGGTCACTTTTTTTGGACTAACACTTCCTTATTTATCAAATATCCATTTATCAAATATCCATTTTGCAGGACTATGGTAAATATTTTTTAAATTATAAATGAAATATACAAAATGGCATACAAAACCACCAAGCATCGTGTCTGGTACACAGCAGGAATTCCACAAGTGACCCATTAAAAGTTTCCTCTTTCAAGTCTACAGATTCTCTGGCAATCACTCAGGCTAAGAAGCTGACTTAAAGTATCAGGGTTACAATGTGCCACACCTGTGCTAAAAGCCATTCAAAAGGCTAATCTTTTGAACAACAGACAAAATGAAGGAACAGCAATCTTAGGCTGAAAAAAAAACAAAAAAACAAACAACACAACAACAACAGTCCAATTCCACCAAGGAAACTGGACTTGGTTCATGATGAAGTTAGCAGTTTTAAGTTTTCAGAATGAGCTCTAATCCTGAGAAGCCTATAAGACTTACCTTTCTAGAAACTGAAGAAGACGGGGATGGAACAGAGGCCAAAAGATCTAAGTCCTTCTCTAGGGTATTGCTTGTCTTAGTATTTGTAATACAGCAGGCCACAGGAGCATCTAGAAAGAGAGATCAAAGTTAAAATGTGACACTGATCACTAAGCCCATGCTGTCCTTCTACTCTAGACACAAAGCAGACGGCGGAAGGCCCATGTGCTCCATCATGGACCTGGAAATCCAGGCTTCTGGGACCATCTAGCTTGGATGGGGCACCTCAAAAGAGACTTCATCCCACATTCCTAGAGGACCCTGGAGAAGATGGTAGACCCTAGTATCAGGCACACGGTAGGAGAAACCCAGGCCTGAAGGCTATATCAACACGACAGCAGGGGACTAGCTGGCTTCCTTCTGGCTATTTGAGGGGAAAGCTATGTAGGACTCACTTGCAGAGAAAAAATGAAAGATACAAAAAGTAGAAGCCTAAGTGGCCAATAACCTAAATCAGCAGAAATGAACTAAAACAAAGTATAATCATCGACACAGTGAAAGGTAAAGAACAGGTTCTGCTTCAGAAAGGGGCAGAATCACTAGTTCAGGATTCCAAAGGTTTAGAGGAAAATGACCACAAGGCAACAGGTCATATCAGAAACATCTGAAATAAGGGGGGGGGGGCGGGAGTGGGAAGAGTGGTCCTCACAGGTGCTGCTTTAGTAAAAATTGTTAACATTTACTGACTGCTTAGCATGAGTCAGGCAAGTGGCTAAGAGCTAGAGGCATTACCTCCAACAATACCTGGGAGGTAAAGCCTTCTCCTATTGCACAGATTAGGAAAGCAATATTCAGAAGTTAAGTAAGCTGCCCAAGGTCAGAGCATGAGTAAGTGGCAGTGTTGGTTCTTCAGTTCCAAGGCCATATTCTTAACCACCACGCTGTGCTGTCACTCTGAAAAGTTTCCAGTAAGCACTTCATAGAACAATTGCTTAGATGTAAAACAACTTGAAGAACATGGGGGAACCATCTTGGTGACAAAGACACAAACTGAAGAATCCCACTTTCCCAGGGTCAAAGAGAAGTCATCAAAATTTCTAAGATTAGAGGAGTGGAAAAGTCTAACTCTTACCTAGGCCCAACAAATCCATGACAGGAGCTGTGGATTTCGGGGAGCTTTTCCGAGGTAGCTGTGGGTCTTCTTTTTTCTGTGGCTAAGTGAAATATGTTATAGAAAGAAATAAGCAGGTATTTTGAACCCCCTTTTCCCCATCTCCACTTATTCTTATAATGTGGTTGCTGTTATTCAAAGAGAATCACTTAAGAAACAGAACTCAGGAAGTACCAGGTGAAAGAATCAAGCCAGGAGGCATAAGTGCACAAGCCAGAGCTAAAGAGAAAAACAAAGGTATCATCTGTAGTTGTTTGACTTTCTGAAGAGGCAGGTCTTTCTGAAACCAAGATAAACACAGATTCAACCAAAGTAGCAGTTTTGGTCCCAGAAAAAGTCAAGAATAAAGGTAGGTGTCTGATGGTTCAAGAGCTGAGTGTCAACAAATCTCCCAGTGTTTAGAAAAACCCTTAATGCTTAAAGGGAGATCATTTTAAAGACTACTTATCTCACTCTGCCAATTATCACTGAAGACTACATTCTGCAGACAGTATAATTCAGAATGATGACAGAAGACTCTCCCTTGGGCACTTAGTAGCAGTCCTCTCTCCTAAGATTCCAAATTTTTACAACTAGAATATCTACTACTACAGCCACAACACATCTGTGGAAAAAGAAAGGTGTCTACCTCAATAAAACAGAGCAAGAACAGAAGAAGGAATTGTTTAAAATGGACTAGAATGGTCCAGCTCTTGAACTGTTCTTTGCTACAACAGGAAAATGAGGTACAGAAGATCTAACAAGAGAAGGACTAATGAGGAGGTAGCATCTGCTCAGAAGGTGTCACATGGTATCCTGGCACAGAAAGTGCCTCTTGCTTAGGTGGAACAGATGCAGTTCTCAAGCTCCCATCTGGCCACCAAGGGACACGTTACAGAGCAGCTCAGGCAGTAACAAGGCAATGGGAAAGGAGCAGAAAAGGCATCAGCAGTCTGATCTGGATGTGGTGCCCTTTCACCCCAGGTGTGATGATGCAATATGTTATCACCTCTACCCCGCCAGACATGCACCTCCCACCCGTCTCCATCACACAGATAAACACACCAGAGACCATCCACACCATGCAAACACTTCCCCTCTTACCATTTTAACTTTCTCAAAAACAACAGGTTCCATTTTTTTCTCTGGCGCTGACTCACTCCCTCTTTTCCACTTGTCATCTTTTTCTTTCTATAAGGATTTAATAAGACAAAACAAAGAACATGGGCTTCATGGTGATTAACAGTTCAGTAAATTATAACTGCAAATGTCCAAAAAGGACACAAAGAATCCCTATGGTATCTAATACAGGGATCTGACAAATTGGCGTGGGGCATGAGAGCTGACCTCTTTCATGTCAGTCTCGATGCTGTAGGCAGCATCCTCAAATATCTAAGCAGCTCCTCTCCTCCTCTGTCTAACTCACCTAAGACTCCTAAAATGAGCTGTCTGGACTAGCTGCAGAGGTTAAAATGTTTCACCAGTTTGCTGTCCTTTTTTGACCTGATTTAACTTGTTCATGCTTTGAGCTCCTATCTTGGTATCTTCTCACTCAACATATATCCTCTTTGAGTTCATAAACTCAGTCACAAATTTTCTCAATCTTTATCTCCCATTTTAAAATCAGAAAATAAAATTTAATTTGAAGCTTAAAGATTAGAAATACAAAAAGTGAGAAAATAAAACAAACAAAAAAAAAAAAAGAGGAAAAGAGGATTAAAGTATCTCTTTCAGGGTACCCTGAATGAGTCGCCTACATAAAACCAAAAAGCATATCAAAAATAAAGTATTAGAAAATCTCAGTTTTTCTCTTTACCTTCAGGAACAGTTTCATAATACTTTCACATTATAATGTTATTGGTCACAGTTTTAACATCTAACATTTAGAAGCAAAACAAAACAACAATAAGGTAAACTTAAGAATATAGGCACATAAAAGAAAGCATGGCATACATACAAAAAGATGCTTGGTCCTGCTAATAGTAACACCTAATAGTTATAGGGAGGAAGTAAAACTAGTAAGTAGTCCTACACAATGCTGAGAAGATGGTAAAAAGTAGTATAACTTGCAGAAAGTACAGTGAAACACTTTGACCCAGATAATACATTCTATAATATGTCTTAAGCAAATCATCCTAAATATCAAAAAGGTTATATGCATCAACAAGTTCACCCCAGACTTATTTATGCTTAAAAAAAATTATGCCACAGCAAACTTTATGCCACAGAAAGAGAATGGTAAGATAAACTATGGCCTCGCTTTTCTTTTTTTTTTTTTTTTTTTTTGTGGGACCCTCGCCAGTGGCTGGGGAACAAACCGGCGCTGCAGAGGCTGCAGGCAGCCTCGCAGCCCAATGCTCAACCTCTGCGCCACCAGGGGAGGCCCTGACCTCGCTTTTCACTGAAAGATGATGAAACAACTAAAAATTATGAAAACTATTTAAGTAACACAAAAATCCATATGGTAAAGTGAATAAAAGCAGGAGACGTTCTACATAACCGTATCATAACTATGCCTCCAGAAAAGTGACGGCAGTATGTAGAAAACAGAGAACACACCAAGATGACACTCATCAGCAGAGATGGTACGAGTAGGCATGGATTTTTCTTTTTCATATTTTCTGCAAAATGTCATGATCACAAAGAATGCATGCAGCTATATTTGCTTCATACATGTTTTGAAGTATAGCACTTTCCTACAAAACTATTTATTTCTTGAGGTTACAAATATTTTACCTGCCCTTTAAAAAAATGATACTCTTATTTAACAAAGCCAGTGTCTTTTCAATCTCATGTTAAATGTCTTCACTTGGCAAATATTAATTTTTGCCATATAAATCTTCATGAAAGAATTTTCTGAAACTCTATGTACATTAAATAAAAATTTTTTGAAATAAGATTTTTCATACACAGGCAATATTTCCTTTCTAAATGAAAACGTGGTAAGTAAAACAGGCTATTTTCATGGGTAAGGTACACCAGGAACATAATTATGAGTACAGCCACTCTTCCCTCTCCCTCCATCTTCTGGATTACCTCAGATAACCTTTTCTGAGCTCACTGGATTGCCTATCATCAAGTACAATGAACAGCGCTAAGCAGACAGACCCGTTTTCTACAAATAAAAGGAAATGTGTGTGCTTTTTTGATGATGCTATCCAAGATGTAGCTGTAGACCACGCTAATTCTTTCTTGAAACAGTTACCACTTCCAGGTCCTTGTTCTGGAATACTGGGAGCTAGGGGTACTTCATACTAAGTTGAGAAGGAATTATCTATACCTAACTATATGTATTATTCTGTACTTACTCGCCTGCCTTGAAATTCACTTTTTCACAAAAGTTCAAAGGATAAATCTGGTGCTGATTCCAATGAGATGGGTTTTTAATTACCTAGAAGAACTTATAGCCTCCACATAAACTTAGTGTTTACATAATCCTATCTAGTGTTTACATAATCCTATCTAGTTATATAAATAACTGGATAGGTGGTAGATAGAACTTATTTTAGGACTGGGGAATTCCAGACTCTCTTCTTCTGTAGCTAGAGAAATAGTCAATCATTTCTAAACAAATTTACTATACAATTTTGTCAAAGGCATTTTAAAGATCTAAATAATCATATCCATTAGCTCTCCTTTGGTTATAATTAGTCAACCTTACTTTTTTCTTTCAGAAACCACGTTGTAAACCTTCTAGTTATCATTGAATTCATGACACACTGTACTTAATGATATCTAGGATGGACGAGTACTTGGCAACTTGTAGTTTCCAAGGATACCATGGACAATCAGTCTATCAACACACTAGAAATATACATTGATCAGACTGAAGGAAACTCTGGTTATTTAATTACTACACCTAATTTATTTACTTCATTTATAGAAAAAGAAATGCACACATGCACACACGTATATGTGTATCGTATATGTGTACATGTAATTATTCTATTTGAGCTAGTATGCCCAACATATTAATTTGAAGAAATAATTTGGAACTAGAAATAACTAACATCTAAGTGCAGATCAAGGCAAATAATTCACTGATGGTTTGCCCCGTCCAGTCAAAAGTTTGCTCAGGGATGTCTTGTGGTCTTGATTCAATAACTGGTTTGGGTTTTTGTTCTTTTTCTATTTTTGTATTTTCACAATGATGGCTTTGGAGTATTTCAGTGGTTGTCCTTAAAATTCTTCCCTGGCCTGCAAATCAGCAAATTGCTATTATGAAGAAAACCTGAAAGATTTACAACCAACCCTAAAGGCATTGATGTCCAGACTTCGGTCCATGTATTTCTTCTTCTCATATTTGTCTCGAATAAATCCTTCAACAGCTCTGCAAAATGCTTATTAAGGATAAATCAAACAAATCTTTTCCACAGAATGACTATAAAATGTCAGTTTGTATCTATGAAATGTGTTCTCCTCTCTCCCTCCTGCCTGGTTTCCCATATGGTTGTCTCTTCACATGCGGCCCTGACCAAAACCTTGAAATGCTTCCTCTACAGTTTCTGTAGGGAATTAATTTAAAATACCATTTCCTGTGATTTTTCCTTCAGAGTAATGATAGCAGCAAATGAGATTAACCTTTATACTGACACCAGAGGAGCCTGTGGCTATTATAGAATTTAGGTTTCCCCAGCTATTTGAAAGTAGAATGTTCTTATTTGGTATGATTTGATAGGTTATTTTTGTAGCCTGAGAATGCTACCAAATCACACAAAATAGGAACATTTTACTTTTAGACAGCAGAGGACACCTGTACAGGTAAAGCCATCAATTATTTTAAAGCTCTTAGGGTCAACAGGCCTTAAACAAAATAAAGTCTTGTGCTCCACTGCCCAATTGTGATCTGAGGACTTCTGCAAGGCCCCAAATCTGCATTTTAATAGGTTCTACCTGAACCCACCAAAAAGTAAACTTTAACAAAGTGGTCTACAAACCACATTTTGAGAAGAAAATTATTAACTGGTCAACATCTGTTAATTCTTTCACAAAGGATATAAAAAGACATTAAAATGAATGGTAGTTTTGCTGAAGCAACATAACACAGTAGACTATTCTTTTTATTAAACAACAGTTTCAGGGCCTCCCTGGTGGCACAACGGGTTGGGATGCAACCTATGAGTCAATCCACAGCTACTGCAGCATGAGTTCGCTCCCCGACCAGAGAGAAACCCACATGGTGCAGCAGACCTCTCCTGACTCATCTGCTGCTCCCCTCAGCAGTGTATTTCAGTCAATCTGCCTGTTCTGTTCCCCACTCTGTCTTTGGTGAATCTTCTCACCCCCACACCTCTGGCCTGTACCCCAGTTCTTGTATGCATAAATAAATAAATCTTTAAAAAAAAAAAAAAAAACAACAGTTTCAAAGTCAAAAGCTATGGAGATGTCACTTTATGGGAAAATTCACAGTGAGCCACTGCAGTCTTAAGTCTTGAATGCATGTTCCCCCATGTGATACCATATTCTGACATTAGAAAGTACACATGTGCTTTTGTATGTCTTGGTTACAGGAGAGAGAAAAAGCAAGACTTTGACTAATCCACATAGAGACAGCCCAGTCAGATCATGGGACTTGAGTCTTGTGTGACTCTCCCAGTACTACTTAGCCTTATAAGTTGCATCAGAAAAGATACGGGTCTATTTGTGGTCGCCGAAAGGTCTCAGGAAGGTAGGCTTCATAAAGTCGGTTTGCCTTTCCATTCCCCATCTCTTGCATGCACTGCAATCAAAAAGATGTGGAAACATGAAATGTCATATCAGGAAAGAACTGGAAAACTTCTCACCCAATGGCAGCATTCTATAATTGAGGAAACACCTAGACAGTGGCAGAACCAAGATTTATACTTGTGTGTTCTGATTTCTAAGCTATTCTTTTCTCTATTCTCTACCACGAGCTCCTATAGTTTTCTTTCCCCTTCCCTCTCTAAGTTGCTTTTAGTGAAAGATTTGTCTGACAAGACCCATTTAATTCAGCAATAATTCAAGATCCCATTTGAAAGTCTAGGATACAAAGCTACCAACCAAAATGTCTACCTGGCAGGCAATAAACAGCGCCTAATCAAGCAGGCAATAACTACAATTCTGTACTTATGCTATTAATTAACTCATGGGATTTTATTACCAATAAATCTTTCCCATTAGAATTTGAAATAGACTCCTTAATGCTTGTGAAGGATAAATCTCAAGATCTTTTTAAATCTTCAAATTCTCACATAAATTCATGGCATATAACTTCCTTCATAAAACCCAGTTTGAAAAAAAAAAGGTACAGCAAAGCGTAACTGAAAAATATAACTAATCTTTTAGACTGCTAACAAATCTGTAAAAAACAGTATAAAGTAACTTCTAAAGCCATTTTCTAATTAAGAGTAACCTCTAATTTCCATCACCAACTTTAGCATCTGGTTTTCTTTGGGGCCTCTCTTTTCTCCCCAAGGGGGGAAAAATGTATCATTTTTAAAAGTTTCAATGCAAGAAGAGAACAGAAAACAATGAGGCCACATTAAGATGCAGATCTCAGGCCAGTTGCACTCATTAGCTTAAGTGCCTCATTCCCAGTCCACTAACCTAACAGCAAGCAAGACTCATACATGTGTTTTACCAATTAAATATTATAAATTGGGGCCTCCCTGGCGGTGCAAGGGGTTAAGACTCGGCACTATGAAGTTATCAGCAGCCACTGCAGCAAGAGCTTGATTCCCAGCCAGGGAGCTAACCCACATGGGGAGGCAGACCTCTCCTGACTCACCCATTGCTCCCCTTAGCAGTGTATTTCAGTCAATCTGCCTGTTCTGCTCCCCACTCTGTCTCTGGTGAATCCTCTCATTCCTCCCCTCCCTGCATCTCTGGCCTGCACTCCAGCTCTTGTATGCATAAATAAAAATAAATAAATAAATCTTTAAAAATAAATATTATAAATTCATGGGCTAAGGATATATATACACATATATATATGAATATCTAACTGCAAATGTTAGATCTGCAAATGCCGGGGGACTCAGAAAATGATTCAAAGATTCCTCTTTATAAATTCATGGACCAGGCCTCCCTGGTAGCAATCTGCAGCCTCTGCAGCATGAGCTCGATCCCTGGCCGGCCAGGGAGCAACCCACATGGCGCAGCAGACCTCTCCTGACTCACCCGCTGCTCCCCTCAGCAACGTACTTCAGTCAATCTGGTTGTTCTGTTCCCCACTCTGTCTCTGGTGAATCCTCTCACCCCTTCCCCCTCCCTCCCCACCCCCATAGCTCTGGCCTGTACCCAGCTCTTGTATGCATAAATAAATAAATCTTTTAAAAAATAAATAAATTCATGGACCCAGGGGGTCCTAGACTACAGACTATTTGTGTTTAAAGAAGGTAAAATATAGGTAGAATAACCTGCTTCTTAAATAGAAAGATTAAAAATTTCTCTAGTAAGGTGTGAGCATTTAACATAAGTGTCTGACAACTAAACTTTCCTTTATCTGCACTTTGTGCCCAAATTGAATATCTTGTTCTTTCTATAGTTACTGTAATTCATGTGGAAGCACTTTTATGTGGAAATAAGGGATCAGTTAACTCACTCGAGCCGAGTTAAGTACCTGAATCTGTTCTTGAGTCCACTGGTCGAGGTTAACTGATTTTACCCTGGATATGTGCACTCCCAGATTCCTGTGGATTCCGGCACATCGAATGCAGATGAACACACCAATGTTCCAGGAGGCCCATCGTGGCCCTGTGAAGATCAGGAACAGGGCAATAAAGTAGAAATTAAAACAGCATTAATGCCCAAACTAGAATATTTAGATTACGAGGCAACATTTTACCAAGATCCTAGAAGTGACAAAATTGTTACCACAGTTACCTTCTTGTTGGTGTTCGTTCATTCATCCATGGATTAGCTTTTTTTTTCAGTTTAAAATTTTTAAGTGTACAATACAGTGCCTTTTAGTATAGTCACAGTTATGTAACCATCACCGCTATCTAATTCCAGAACATTTCCATCACCCCCAAAAGAAACAAAACTCATTAGCTGGCACTACCCATTTCCTTCCCTGTAACCACAAATCTCCTTTCTGTCTCTACAGATTTGCCAATTCTGGATATTCCATGTAAACGGAATCGTATAATATGTGGGGGTATTTGTGTGCAGAGTAGGTTTTTGGAGTGTCTGATAAATAAGTGTTGAAATGCAGGTGTTATAATACTGTTACTTAAATACCGAAAGCTACCAGAAGAGTGCAAAGCTGTTCTGTTTAGTATCTCACATGAATGGTCCTCCCCCCAAGAAACTTTTCAATGGTGGTAGGACCTGGATTCAGTTCCCCTGCTAAGAAAAGAGATACAGACATGCCATGGCAGCCTCAGACTCCACTTGAAATTTAAGACTTTGTTTATCTTCCCCTCCCCATAGGCCTATAAAATATGCATCCAGATTAATTTAATAGAATCCTTTCCCCTTCGACTGATGTCCCTATTTTACCCAACTACACAATGATCTAGACTCAAGACTGTCAAATAATAAAGATAACTATTTCATAAAAAAGAAACCTCAGATATGAATTTTAATAAAAACCTGTTACATAATCTCCCATTCCGTGCCAACTTTGCTCGCCCTATGATTACTCTGCAAAGTTACCAAACTCCTCTTCATAATTTTTATACAGGAAAAAAACTGACTTACTTTTTATATAACATCTGCCAAAGTCTTACTGAAAAATCACTAGCAGTTCCTTCTCCACCATTCCACTATGCAGAAATTTACCATATAAGCATTATATTAAAGTTAGAGGGTGCAATAAAAAAGTGAAAGACACACTACTTGATTTTCTATAAAGATAAATACAACATGTGTTTAGAACAACAAAGGGTACAAGACTTCAGTTCTGCCAGGCACAATTTGTTTGTCTGCAAGTTTTTGAGAGCAGTTTTAATGAAGGATTAGTATGGCAGAAAATTATTTTTAGAAATTTGAATCCATGGTTATTACAAATAAGAATGTGATTTTCTGACAAACATCACTCATATACTTTACATCACTCATATACCATACATCATTCATATACTACAGCAAATACCACGTCACAGAAGGTTCCAATCCTCTTAATAGCCACCAGGTGGTGTTCTCTAACTGAAATTTTATCCCAATACCTTCAAATTACTATTATCTTGATAGGCTCAGGTTTATCTTCTGAAATGACCTTCAGTGCCTTCAAATACCTTGCTAGTTTTGCACAGTAGGTGTGCCACAGAGTCAATAAACACACAAATGATTCATATACTCAGGTGGTGGAAAGTCATGCAAACAGAAAAGGGAAAACCTAACAGATGTGGGTGAGGTTTCTCAGGATGCTCTATATCTATTTTAAATACAGTTTCAGGGCCTCCCCGGTGGCGCAGTGGTTGAGTGCTGGGTTGCGAAGCTGCCCGCAGCCTCTGCGGCGCCAATTCGATTCCCGGCTGCTCCCCGGCCACCAGAGGAGGGTCCCACATGACGCGCAGACCTCTCCTGCTGCCCGCTGCTCCCCTCAGCAGTGTACTTGGGTCCTTCTGCCTGCTCTGCTCCCCGCTCTGGCTCTGGTGAATTCTCTCACCCCCCACCCCCGCGCTTCTGACTATACCCAGTACTTGTATAAATAAATAAAAAATAATAAAAAATAAATCTTAAAAAATAAATAAATAAATAAATACAGTTTCATATGGGAACTCTGATAAAATCTAAGTTATATAGGATTAAAAATGGAACCAAAAGTTAGTATTTCATGTGTCTTTACTATTTTCCCTTTGCTCTAGAGTCTGAAACTCAAAATAGAGTAGTTAAAATATATGTGCTTGTTGACAAAATCAGAAGTCAAAAACACTAAAAGTTAGCCATGGACTATTACACTATTTGCTTCCTGGCCCCAGTTCTGGAGAAGGCAATTCCCAGTCATCTACACCACTGTCGTAACTGTCTCCAGATCCCATTCCAGAGCAGTTAGTTTCTTTGTCTCTGATGAATATGAGATCAAGACCTGATATTCTGAAGCCAACTCCAAAGGCTGCAGTACAGACACACAGGCAACGCAATTTTCATGAAAAATCAGAGGAGCATCTCCTTTCATCCCTCCTCCCTCTCTCCCAGCACCTATGCCCAGTGAAACAGTGACAGTCTATCTTGGACATTAGGCCTCCTTTAATTTCAAGCCACTGGATTTATTAGTCAGTAACTGAAGGCTCCATAAAAGATTAGGAAATTGGAGAAGAGAAAAACACAAGAGACAAACGTTGTTTATATGACTGCAAATGTGGGGAAATGGTGTTGTTATTAAAAGAACAATCTGCAGTCAGAAAAAAGCTTAGGATTGAATGTCAACTCCCTCGATGACTAGGTGAAACCTTCAGAAAGATACTTAAACTCCCTAAGTCTCAGTTTTCCCATCTATAAAGTGTGTGCAATATCCACCTGACAGTAGTTAGAATATAGAGGCATAATAATAAAAGAGAGCTGCAGAAAAAAATATGGCATAGGGGCTCCAAAGACAGGATTTAAGTACGGATGAGAGAAGCTGATTTTAGCATACTCTGGGGAAGGATTTTTCTAACAGTTAAAGTTGTGTGAAAACAAATGTAGCGTATCGGGAAATAGTACAATCCCAGTAAGTGCAGGTATTCAAGCAGAAGCTAGATAATCAACTCTCAGGCATGGTAGAAAAATGATCCCTGTAGTGGGTATGTGAACAATGAACCCTGAGGTTCCTCTGCTACTACAGTTCTACTAGTTGATCTGTAGGTAACTTTCAGGTCCCACCTTGCTTGACATCCAATGGTTCTGAAAATGCAAAATGAGGTAGTCAACTTATGAAAATATAAGGTCTTGAGCAACCTAAACGGCAAGTAAATTCAGCTCATGGCTCAGATACAACATGTAAGGAAGAATTTATAGCAACAAACTTTGATTTTAAAAAAAGGTTAATTCTCTTTGACCTTGCTTGTCACAAACTCCAACACAAACTTTGGGAGTAAAAGAGGAAGCAGAGTTTGTTTTGAGTACAAATCTAATGCAAGCAGCCTCCATTACACTCATTATATACCTTTGTCCCCCAATATACTACAGAGAAAAATACGCAGAAACACCAGGGCCACCTTGGAGAAATTAAGTAAGGCTGCTGAGAGGTATGTTTACCAGGCTATTCTCATCTATACAAGAGATTTCATCTAACCCAAAATAGCAATAAACAGTAACTTTGAACTTCTGTAAGTACAAACATTTTAAGGAACCATGAAACCAAAATAAAGACTTACTCAATCAACCTCTGCCTTCCGAATGCTCTACAAGAGAAGTCCTTTTCCATTCAGTGCATCTTGCAAGAAAGCTGTTTCCTTTTGTCAGAGATTGTACACATTTATATGTTTAAGAAAGCAGAAGTTAAGCTTTTGTAATGTCTGAGACAAGGTAAATAGAAACATTTATGAGAATGATCACAAAATAAAGGTACTATCCCAAGAAGTTTCAATTTAGAAAATCAGAGGTGGTAAGTACCTCACCTTCCATTGAATGGAGAGTCTTCTGCAAGCAACCGCTTGGTTTTGCCTTGAACAGGTCTAGTAGTATGTGAGGTAAGTGTCAGGTAAGTGTCATTTCAAAGGGTAATCAGCTTTTCTGCTAGATGGCACTGCTTATTAGAGATGCTTTTCCTATTCTGAGTCCCACTGATCTGCCTTCTTACCAACTTTACCTCCTGGTGGTAGTTTTAGTCTCCTTTTTTACATTTGCATAAAATATATGCAAAGTATGAAAGATAAAGATAGAGGTTTGGAAATTTCAGCAGGCAAGAGCAGTTAGTCATATACTCAACCCAAATACAAGCCAGTTGAGCCAACTTAATCCTTGAGGCAAATGACAGAGCAGATTAAGCAATCAGATTGCTATGACATCAATGGATGTGAGACAAAGCAACATTATCCTTCTGCAGATAACCAGAAAAAGACTGGTGAAGTAGGATACTGCTGAGCATTCACTGATAAAATCATTGGTCTACATCTAAACCTATTTCAGCAGTCAACGTAAAATGTTTTTTCTCTACAAACATTGTTTCTAACACTGGAAAATCACTAGGGAAGCAGACTGGGGACTAGTGGAAGAAAAGAAGGGGACATTCTTCATCTTGCTCTAGTTGTCAACCATCTTACAGACAACAATCTGTCTTGACTGTGTTCAGCCTGTATGCAAGGTCGGACCACAAACAAATACAACTGCAAATGAACCTACACAAAGGAGTAAGCTCAAAGCACTAAAACAGTCCAGGCCAGCGGCTAAAACAAGACATAGCTACAGATGAGGGCAGCAGCTTTCCTAGCTCCGCTGTACACTGGCTATTCATTTCCTTTCAAATCCTAGTGAAAACCGTCCTTGTTCTAAATTAATACAGTACCAAGCTTTAGCATAACTCATGTTATTTACTGGCCACCTGTTTACAGTTAAAGGTATGTTACGTTAAAGTTATCTAAGGTGCGCCACGAATCAATTGTGTGACTTTGGGCAAGTCTATTCACTTTTCTGAATCAATTTTCTTACCTTGAATAGATTATCTCTAAAAATTTACCTCCAAAATTCATTAAACCACTCAGAAAAGAAGGATGGAAGGGCAGTTAACTTTCAGTAAATTTAGCTCTACATCAGTCTTATTTTCTGGGTTTGTTATTAGTAGATATAAATTTTCTGTAGGCGAGGCTATCACTCTTCCTGCCCATACC